AGCCCCAAGCCTTCTGCCTCCGTGATGGCCGACTTGTTGTCCACCCGGAGGACGGTCGGCTTCGCCGCGTCGAGCAGCTTGAACTCTGCAAGAAAGAAGCGAAGTCAACGCCCTTCCTTGCTGGCTTCCGTGGCCGCGACGTACTCCGACTCGGTCGAGGAGAGCGTCGCGCAGTTGATGCGCTGACCCGACCAGGAGACAGCGGCCCCTCCAAAGACGAACACGTAGCCGCCCGTGCCTCGTTCTGTTCTGCTTGTCGCCCGCATCGTCAGCGTCCACGTAGTTAACTAACTCCAGCGACTCTAGTCCACCGCCGAACTCAAGGGCGGTGTCACGGGTCTTAGCGAGGTAGGCGAGGCAGCGGTCGACCTCGCGCCAGTGCTGGTCGCTCCTCACCGCTCCCCAGCTTGCTGCAGGCGAAGGCGATGTCCGGCCTCGTCGTCGTCGCCGCGATCTACAGCAAGCCGACCTTCTGCCGGTACTCCTCCTCCTTGCGCTCCTGCGCATCCTCGTCGTCGAATGTCAGCCCGGCGTAGGCGTCGACAGAGACCGGCGTCTTTGGGATGCGCCTGGTATGCTCCTCGTCGATGAAACGCCTACGCAGCTTGTTGGCGTAGCCCTGCTGGTGCAGCCACAGCTTCCTTGCCGGCCTGTCACGCAGGATCTCCAACCCGAGGTACTTGACGACCGGCGAGATCTCACGCAGCTCAAAGGCGGCCTCCAGCAGCTCCTTCAGCATCGCGGCGCTGCTGCTGGCGGCGAGTAGATCGTCGATGTACATCAGCACCCAGGAGGTCACTCCGACGTTGCCGACCTTGAAGTAGAGCGCCTCATCGACTTGGCTCTTATTCCAGCCGGCCCCCAGCACTACGCCGTCGAGAGCCCTGTACCACAGCAGCGGCGACTGCTTCAGCTCGTAGAGGCTCTTCAGCAACTTGCACACCCGGCCGGTCCCATCGTCGAAGTAGTCCGGCTGGTACAAGTACAGCACCTAGTCGAGCTTGCTTTGCAGGAAAGCGTTCTTCATGTCGAGCTGCATCATGTTGAGGTCGAGGACGTCGATGATGCTGAGGAAGATCTTCAACGAGACGTAGCTGCTTACCGGCGAGTACGTCTCGTCATAGTCGGCACCGTACACCTGTGTGAAGCTCTTCACGACCAGCCTCGCGTTCTCGCGCTCGACGTTCTCGTCAACATGGTACTTTTCGTCAACACTCATGGTGTTTATCCCGCGCGGGCGTTCGGCTAGCTCCCATGTGCCGTTGTTGATGAGACTGCGGATCTCCTCGTCCATGGCGGCCTTTACCGCCTCACCCTTCCAGTTCGCCAGCGCCTCCTTCACCATCATCGTCGCAATGTCCAAACAGTGCTCGAATTCGGCGTGCACGTCGGGGTCGAGCTCTGGCAGGTCGACGTAATCCTCGGCGTCGTCGTACAGCAAGTCATCATCAGCGTTGTCGTACAGCAGGTCATCTCGGCATCGTCGTACACCGTGGTGAAGGCAGCCGGTGGCAGACAGGCGTGGCAGCTGAGCCACTCTGGTGGCCTCCGAGTTCGACCTGAGCGTCGTAGCTCAGGCTTTGAGCGTTGCAGCTCAGGCGTCTCGATCGGAACTTCCACCACGTCGCTGTCGGTGGACTCCTCTCCAGCCGACAACTCCCTTTTCTCGTCGACCTTCTCGTCGTCGACCAGCTGCTTTGTCAGTGTTGGCCCTTCACCCGGCTGCTCCCCTCTCGTCGGCCCTCCTGCCGACTTCTCTTTCGTTGACAGCTCCCCTGTCGACTGCCCTATCTGCTGCTCCCCTGTCGACTGGACTCCTGCTGCTGCCTCCTTCCATACCAGCTCCCCTGTCGACTGCCCTGTCTGCTGCTTCCCTGCTGACCGCTCCAAATCCTCGTCGACGGGCCTCTGGCCGGTGCCACAGGCAACGCCTCAAGGCTCTCGTCATCGCCGGCGGCCGACACCAGAGTCGACGCTGGCCGATCTGCGACGGAGGTGGGAGGAGCAAGAACAGGGGGCGGAGGGAGGACTTCTTCGACGTCCTCGTCATCAGGCCCATCGACCTCGGCGAGCAGCGGAAACGTCGCCGTCGATGTGTCCGTCGGTGGTTGTGTCTGCGTCCGCCCCGACGCCGGCCCATACTTCGCCTTGCACACCTCCAGCGAGCGCGTCTCGTAGAAGATCACCTCGACCGACGTGACCACCTTGTTGTCGGTCAAGTCGAGCACCTCCCAGCCCTTGCTCTCCTACAACACGCCCAGGTGAAGTCCCCAGTGGGCCTTCGGCTTCAGCTTCCCACCGCGCTGCTGCTCGGGGACCATGAACTGCACCATGCAGCCCCACACCCGCGCCAGCGTGAGGTCGGGCTTCTTCCCGGTCAGCAGCTGGTACAGAGTCGTCCTCATGGGCGTCGTCGACCGCTCCAAGCAGTTGCGCACCCAGACAGCTTGTTGTAGGGCGAGGTGCCACCAGTGGTGCTGCACGCCCATGTGCAGCAGCATCGTCCGTACCAACTCGACTACCGTCCGCATCTCCCGAACTGCCATGCCGTTTTGCGCGGAGTGTAAGGGCATGTCAGGTCGTGAACGATGCCCTTCCCATCGACGAAGTTGGTGAACTCATTCCCGTCATGATGATGGTGTAGCTGTGTGGCGGGCCCTTGACGACGTGGGTGATGTAGGACGCCGTCGAGTAATCGACACCCGCCATCCACATCTCAGCCAGAACCCGTCGAGCACGGTTGCAGTAGTCCGTCGCCGACTCCTGCTCGCCCATCCGAAGGTGTGTCATCTGCTCCTCCAGCTATCCTTCGTACAGGTCGTCCTTCGCCTGGTACGTCGACAGGATGAATCACCACGCTTGGTGACCAGCATCCAATCGCTGTCGACACGACCTAAGCGCTAGCTGCACCACCGGCGAGCAGCACCTCGAGATGACCATGAAGGTGAGCAGGTGAGCGGCACGAAGCTCTCCGCCCAGCTCGGCCTCGCCCTAAGCCGGAATTGGCACGGTGCCATCGGCGAAACTCTTCAGGTCGGCGACCTCCAGCTAAGGCTCCATCGCCTCCCTCCACGTGATGAGGTCCCGTCGACCTTGCAGCGGTGCGACGGTGATCTTCTCTGGCGAAAATTTGAAGTAGCCATACGCCGGCGCGATCCCGCCCGCCGTCACGTGCGTCGCCGATGTGGACTTACATTGCTTCGTTGAGGAGAGCGACGGCCATTGACGTCGACACGCGAGCTGCTTGTAGCCATCGTCGACCACTGCACTCGCGCCTGACTCCCATCGATGCCACCGTCGACCTTGATCACCCCTCTCTTCTTCGTGCCCTTGCCGTCACTGACTCGTGCACCGCCGTCGACCTCCTCGTTGACGAAACCTTTGTTTCGCACCGGTCGAGGAGATGCAGGACGGGAAGGGTGCTCCGTCGCCCACTGCGCCCGGATGCCCAGCTCGACGATCTCCAATGGGAGGGTCGACCCGTACTCGCCACCCTCGTGACATTTCCTCGCATCAACCAAGCGTGCCTCCAAGGTGTCCTCTACCGCGCCGGCCTCTGGCAGCGTAGGCGTCATGGTTGCACGTGCTGCCGGCCTACGAACGACTTAGTAGGTGCAAAAGTCGGCTCCTATCTGAAGGTCGCGTGTTCGATCCACGCTCACCGCACCATGCGTAGATAACTCATACAACGGGAGCTAGATTACAGGGAAGGCACGGTTGTGACAGTAAGCTCTTTAGCGTACAGTAAGCACTTCAGAGTGGTAAGTAAGCTCTTCAGAGCACAGTAACCTCTTCAGAATACAGTAAGCTCTTCAGAGTACAGTAAAGCTCTCCAGTTAAGCGTAGAGTAAGCTCTCTAGAGTACAGTAAGCTCTTCAGAGTACTTTCAGCTCTTCAGAGTACATCAAGCTCTTCAGAGTACAGTAAGCTCTTCAGAGTACTCAGAAAGGCTCTCAGCAAAGGTTCCATTACCTCCTCCAACGCGCCCCTCCACACTCGGCTCTTCAAAGTACCGTGCGTTAAGCTCATCCTGCATCGCCTTCCCCTTCCCCTCCCTGCTACCGCCGCTTTGCTTTCAGCTTTCCCAGGAGGGGAGGGCGCCACCTAGCATGGCATGGAGCACGACTTCGGCGCTCGAGAAGTCCACGTTGGGTTATTGATTGGATATTAGAATAAAATCATCATTATTAGTGTTACAACATTTTATTAATCTAGACGTCTTAGTGAATGTGTGTGAACTTCGTCTCCCATATCTGTGTGGTCTTCGGTGTTGGATAGTGTTCTACGTCCGTTGGTGGTCCAGTGTGGCACTCTGCAGCCATGGATGGCCTGCATTGGAGAATCGCTGCATGGTTGCTGCGGTCTTCAGTGTTGAATCGCTCTGCCGTCTTCAGGGTCGAATCACTTTTTCCGTCTGTTGGTGCTCCAGTGTGGCACTCTGCAGCCATGGATGACCTGCATTGGAAAAAACACGGAGGGAGTACGCTCGGCTGTTTAATAAGGCAGAGATATTGCCATCATAAAGCAGGTGATCATCCCACCAATGATGCTCGTTTGGAACAAAAACATCACATCACAGTTGTAAGTAAGCAGTTGTCATCACGCATGCAAACAAAAAGCAACAAAAGCCATGACACCTGTGCACGCATAAGAGCACCATATTAGTGCAAGCAGCAGCACAGATTTGATCATGGGAGCAGCGACACATCCTGGTGACATTGCATGCCAGCAACATGGTCTCATTTTGAGTCGACTCAAAAGCGACACATTTCGGTGACATTGCATGCCAGCAACATGGTCTCAGAGAATGAATGCAGCCAACAACAGCACGAGACCATGCACACCTACTATTCAGGAAGGGCTTGTATTTCTATAGCACCGCACCCACGCAATGCCCAACAGCACCGCACCCACGCAATGCCCAACAGCACCGCACCCACGCAATGCCCAACAGCACCGCACCCGCGCAATGCCCAATAGCACCGCACCCACGCAATGCCCTATAGCACCGCACCCACGCAATGCCCTATAGCACCGCACCCACGCAATGCCCAATAGCACCGCACCCACGCGATGCCCAATAGCACCGCACCCACGCGATGCCCAAAAGCACCGCACCCATGCAATGCCCTATAGCACCGGACCCACGCGATGCCCTATAGCACCGGACCCACGCGATGCCCTATAGCACCGCACCCACGCAATGCCCTATAGCACCGCACCCACGCAATGCCCAATAGCACCGCACCCACGCAATGCCCTATAGCACCGCCAATGCCCAATAGCACCGCACCCACGCAATGCCCAATAGCACCGCACCCACGCAATGCCCAACAGCACCGCACCCACGCAATGCCCAACAGCACAGCACCCAGACAATGCCCTATAGCACCGCACCCAGGCAATGCCCTATAGCACCGCACCCAGGCAATGCCCAATAGCACCACACCCACGCAATGCCCAATAGCACCGCACCCACGCAATGCCCAATAGAACCGCACTCACCCCATGCTCAATAGCACCACACTGACTCCATGCCTAATAGCACCGCACTCATCCCATGCCTAAAGCACCGCACTCACCCCATGCCCAACCGCACAGCACTCACCCAATGCCCACTAGCACCGCACTCACCCAAAGCCTCTAGAGCCGAGGGTCTCTCCTCCGGGTCTTTCCTCAGCAAGGCTCTCAGCAGGTCCTTAGCCTCCTCCGACACACCCCTCCACACCGCGCTCTTCAGAGTCAGCTTATTCCGTGCAATACCCTCCTGCATCGTCTTCCCCTTCCCCCTGCTGCTACCGCCGCCCGCTCTTTCAGCTTGCTCGCTGAACTCGTCGGGTAGCGCCGCCCAGCAGGGGAGAGCGCCAGCCAGCATGGCGTGCAGCACGACACCAGCGCTCCAGACGTCCGCCTTGGCATTGTAGGGTGCTTTCATGGCCACCTCTGGAGCCATGTACTCTGATGTGCCTGTGGTGTCCGTGCATACGCCATCTGGAAACAAAAATTAGGTGGAAGGAGGGGGAGAACAGGGTCAGAATGTGCACATACAAGTGCTGGATCCGAGTAGAATAGGAGCGAGAAAGAGAACAAAGAAAGTGCACAAATCTGACCATGTATGAAGGTAGGTCCTTACCCTCATCGAGGAATCCTGCCACTCCAAAGTCACTGAGCTTGATCCTCACGTCTCCGTTGCCTGATTGAAGGGGCATCCGGTCGCACAGGAGGATGTTTTCAGGCTTCACATCGCGGTGAAGCACACCGAGGGAGTGGCAGTGGTGGAGAGCATTCAGCAGCTGTCTCATCACGGATGCTGCTTGTTGCTCAGTGAGACGACCCTTGGGGGCGCTCTGTATGAAGTCAAAAAGATCTCCGCCGTTGCAGAGTTCCATGACGAGATGAACGGCCTGGATGAGAGGGAGTGGAAGAGTAGTGAAGGGCCGGGGAAAAAGGGATCGACAAAGCTGATGAGGGTGTATGTGTAACATGGTGTCTGGAAAGAATATGTGGAAATGCAGGAAGTGTAGCTTGAAAGAAACATTGTGGGAGAAGGAATTGCACGTACCTTGTGGTCCTCAAACACGTCGTGCACTTGCACGATTCCGTAATGCGTCTTTAGAAGGTCCATGAGGAGAACCTCTGTGCGTAAATCAGATACCTCACTTTTTGTCTGCATCAACAATGACACAGGCAGCAGGATGAAGTCTGTCAAAATGGACCCGAAGCGTACAATAGATGTTACAAGGATCAGTGCCCTCTTGTATTTCAAGTAGTGGTATATTGCTTACCTTGATATTTGATTTTTGAATGGTCTTGCAAGCAAACACTGTTCCAGTGCTCCATTCCAGACATTTCCTGATTTCGCCACTACCTCCTTCGCCGATCTTCTCCTTGCTGATGTGGAACTTATCCCTCACGCAACTGTATCGGATGCCCAAAATCCGCTCTCGTAGCTGTAGCTGACGTGGTGAGCACGCAACAGAATCCGCCTTTTGGCCGAAGCTGCTTCCAGATGTGCTGTGGTTGATTGGCTGATGTGGGGAAGGAGCTGGAACTGTGGGGCCGTCATTGGTGCCAGGCGAAACAGTCCTTCGTTCCCAGGTTTCGCCGCTGGAGTTCGCATGCACGAGGAGCTTCATGTTTCCCACGGAAGCGTGAGAGGGAGCTGCTCTGCTGCGAAATTCTTCGCAAAAGTACGTTGTGTATGTGTTGTCGTCAGCATCTGATGCGCTTCGCCCCACAGCACCCGCGAGTTTCTTAATTTCTGACGTTCCCAGGAAACCATTAGTACTCGAGGTTAGATCGCTGTAGTCGCCACCAACGGACTTTGCGCTCCTGTGAGAGACACGCACCGCTCCTTTCGCTGCTTCACCGTGCGTCACGGTAGAATATGGGTAGCCCTGTTTTAAATTCTTGAGGTTATGCGAAATGTTGCTGCTGCGGGGACTCGGTTTATCGTGAAAACCTTGCTCTCCGCGAGGCGAAACGACGCCACCAGGCGGCGGCGGCTGCGAAGTTCGCGGACCACGCACAGATTTAAAATCCCGAGTCTGGACGAGCACGCGCTGCGCATATCTCCGAGGCGTTGCTGGCGACGCGGGCAGCGGAGCATGAGGACTGGACATCGAAACAGCAGCAGCAACGGCAGTTGTTGTTGAAGGGCTCATGTCCATTTGAACAGTATTGAAGCTCCAAGTCGGCCTGCTATATGTGTTAATGTGAGGCGAATCTGCAATAGCCATCTCGGGCAAATCGATGTTCGACGACGAGCGGAATGGTCGTACGGAGAGGTGCCGTCGCGCCGAAATGGCGGCGTGGGAGTGAATTGCCACGGCGTGCGGCGACGGCCGGCTCGGAGGACCGACTGCACTGCCTGTTTTCTCGGCGTTTAGGGCGCTATCATCCATTTCAGGCTCTGATTCGCTGGAAACGATTGGCGTGACTTGCGGGGTGCTTCGGGGCGACTCGATCCGCATCCGCGGCGCGGCGGAGGTACTTTGAGAAGCAGGATAACCGTCGCCGCGGCCCACGGTGAATCTAACCGCCATGCTGTCAAGCCGCGCCGGAACGGAGGGCGGTCTGACGAGCTGGCGCGGTCGCTGGGACTGTCTGAACCCATGGCCTCTCCAAATCCCCGCCGGCGACTTCGGCGGCAGCAGAGTGCTAGGACTATTACCGGAAAGGGTAGTACAAGCACCAGCAGAAGCTGCTGCTGCAGTAGCACCGGGAGAAGTATCAAGAGCAGCAGGTGGACTATCCGGCGATAAGAGCATCCGATGCTGAGTCGCCCGCTCTCTATCGCTGGACAGGGTCTCACTACTCGTAGCGGGGACGAGCTCGAGAACGGCATGGCCGCCGTGCGCCTCGATCTCTTGTTGGAGGCGATCGAGCTGAATAAGTAGCTGGGGGTGATGATGCCGCGAGTTGAGCGTCAGTCTGCACGGATCAGCAGGCCGCGGGCTGCTTGTAAAATCGCCGTGCGCCGCGGGGGGCTGTTCCTCAGCGGTCCGAGGCATTGCGTCGGGGTGATCCGCTGCGGTAACGGCGGAGTTGGCGGCGACATTGCCGGGATAGAAGGCGGCGGGTGGAGGGGCTCTGAGCTTGTGGTCGTCCGCCATGATCCGCGTAAGGGGGACAGCTGAAATCATTTCGCCTAGCAGTCTGCGTGTCTGACGCTAAACGAGAATCGCGGCGTCGAAGAGATGATAAGTAACAATCGCCGCGTCGTAGCGAACGCGGAGTGGGCGGTGAATGGAGGAAAGTGTCACGAAGCAAAATGCTTTCATAACGAAGGCGGAGTTGGAGCTGCCACGACGCGTCGTCGTGATGACAGTCGGCGAACCTGCCAATCAAAACTGCTCGAGTACCCATTGTCTTTTCCAGTCGTGTGCCGTGCACTGACGTGGTGGCTCCAGATTATCAATTGGAGATATTGAAGAACTAGGAGAGAAGAAATGTGAGTTGCTACTGCAGCAGGAAAGAGAGGCAGGAAAGGACGCAACTAGGAGCCCCAGATGGAGTTCAAGCCAGCCGTGAAACTGCGCCTTGTGAATTTCATAGAGTATTTCTTATTTTCCTCATCAATTTCCCCAGAAGTATTGAGTTACAAAGCACGTACAAAACATGAGTAAGCCATCGGGAAGGAATTTGGCATTCTGGGAAGCCATCGGTTACTTCAGGTCTTGCTTTTAAACCGGGGCATTTTCACCATTACCACTACATTCTGGGATACTTGCGACTCTATTTAAGGAAAGTGTTCTGGAAGCCAACAAAATATGTCCGTTCAGCTAGGATTCTATGGCTAGCATGACGTTAGTCATTTCATGGGTTTCTCATTATCTAAGCACCGAGATGAGGGTGAGTACCCTCTGATGAAGGCTCTCATTACCGAGTTTTCTGATTTCTTAGCAAAATTGGCGCGGTGCGCGACTTGCAATCCTGAAGTGGCATAGACCATAAAAACCAAAACAACTGTCGTACAAGACAAGAAACGAAAGACGAGAAGGGAGAGGAGGGCGCCATGTGGTAGGGTGTCCCCTCCCCCAACCCCATGTGGTAGGGTAAAAACAGAAGCCACGGGTTGATTATGCCTGCCAAGATTCACAAGTGCCGCGTTGTGCTCAGAATCTCGAGCAGCTCAGAATCTTCAGAATTTACACCCATTGTTCTGGATGATTGGCCTCGATTCAAGGTCGATATGAGCTTGTCAGCACTGTGAGATCTGTTGGAAAATATATTGCACTGCCAGCGTCAGCTGGCAGTGCAATCGAGTCAGCAAGGTGACCGCGGGCAAGGAAAAAAATAAACCCCATCGCGAAAGCATGTTATTCGGGAGCCTCAACCCTAAAATTTTAGGGTTGAGGCTTCCGAATGGCATGCTGTCGCGATGGGGTTTTTTTTTTTGCCCGCGCTACCGGGTGCTACCGGCGCTCGAAAGTGAAATGTTTTGGTCAAAACCCCCTAAAACACAGGATGATTGGGAAAACGCCCTAGGCCGTAGTAGTTATAACCTGAGTAAGGTTATGATGCAATGAGGTATTCACCATACCTCCTACGCTACAATCTTTTTGAAATTTCTACCTCCGAGCTTAGAAGTCATAAACTGCATTGCCTTGATTTCAATTTCCCCTTACTTTACATGTTACTCATCTTGAGGATTAGATTTTGCCGTTGGATGCTTACGAACGTGACCATCAAGTTTGGTCTTATTGATGTTCTCTCAATTCGTTATTTAGGCTCCAGTTTTTTTAGAGTATATAAATATACTTTACATGTTACTCATCTTGAGGATTAGATTTTGCCGTTGGATGCTTACCAACGTGACCATCAAGTTTGGTCTTATTGATGTTCTCTCAACTCGTTATTTAGGCTCCAGTTTTTTTAGAGTATGTAAATATAAATATATGCAATAATTACTTGTTTCATACTCATATTTAGCTGCCAACCAATAGAACAAGATATTTGTTTTATAAATCAGCCCAATTGCATATTTCATATTTAAATAGATTTTGGGAGTGCAAGTACATAAATGAACCCTGGAGTGTGTGCAATTATGGATTTTTTTTAGGGATATGTTATTTCAATAGACAAAAATAAAAACACCATCTTTGGTCGTAATGAGTAAGTGCCATATCGGAGTAAAACATGATACAATTGTGTTCACATGTCTGTGTCGACGAAGGCTTCAGTCCACGGCCCCATGAAGGTCTACCGAAACGAACATCTGGTGTACCTCTTTTCCTGATTGTTGAAGATCTCGAAACTATTGCATCATCCTCATGCATGAGTGACAGGCTGTCGTGGTCGAGCAAGGTGCGGCACCGAACGGAGACTTGCTTCAGACCACTACAGCCAGGAAGACACACACTTATCCGAGCAGCCAAGGACACACCCGCAGCTGGGAAGGACACACACACCCGAGCAGTAAGGAAGGTCAGGTCACACACACACACCCCCGAGCAGCGAGCCACCCAGGAGAGGTGGGGCGGGAGGGGGTGAGTAATCTTGGATGGAGATGAAACAAGCGGATTCTACATTCTTTTTGCAGACTTTCAGATGGTCATACGGTACAGTGCTTCAACCACATACAAACCACCCATATTAATGGGGTCCCTTCACATTTTTCTTTTCCAACTAGCAGCTCAAGCTGGTACCAGGTATTCCCTTACAAAATTACGACCCTGTAGCAAGATAGAAGCAGAAACAGACGATGCTTAGCTGATTTTGCCAGCCAACGAATTCCCTAAGCCTACAGCTGAGGCAGACACGATGAGCGCACCGCGAATAATTAGTAAGCTACGAAAACCTCATCATCAATCAGTCCCTGTGCAGTACTGATCCTGCACCCCTGCACCTGTCATTGTCAGACTTGCCTCCTTCAGACCAGGAGACACTATATTGGATATCACTAGCCTTCTTTCTACCTAAATCCCCCTCATCCTCACCCTCCCTTTACCCTACCCACCCACCCTCTTCCCATCAACCATCCCTTCCCCCTGCTCCCCTCCTCCCAGGCCCCCTCCACCCCCAACCCCTAATAACCACAGCTGTTAGTCAGGGCTCCCAAACCTACTGTGATTATTAGGGTTAATCAGAAACATGCCCATGCTTACAGGGGGTAAGTCACATTCCTGTGCCACTGACATGCCCTGACTGTTTTAGACGCGCCTAAGAAGAAGGCTCTGAGCTCACTGCTGCATCGGCCCATCATCGACCCAAGTGTAGTCAGCCTCATAGGCACACCCTGCTTCTGGGCCCATTGCCACGGTCTGTCCCTCTTGCTACTCATGAATATCCGAGCATCCCCATCAACTTTCCCTAGCGTGGTGGTGCTAAGCTCCCCCTCGCAGCTGGCACGCGGGCCGCACACAATGCCCGGCAATGCAGACAAGACGGTCTATTTTTGAGGCGCCTATAAAACAGAAAGGAGACAAGCGAGACCTGACTCAGGCCGCACAGATTGCTAGACAAGGCAGACAATGACGTCTGCCCCCTGGCCTGGCCGGCTCCGGCCTTTCGACCTCCCCTCCCCGTCCTCCCCTCCCTTTTCCGCCTTCCACTGACTGTCTGCACTAAGCCCAATCTTGTTGAGCGCCCATTCTTGTTAAGAGCGAACCTCCCCCCCTCAGCTCGCATGCTGATCGCCCTGAATGTTAAACGTCTTCTTTAACCCCCTCGCAAGCCGCCCCAGCCCGGCCAGTCCAGACGCCCGACCCACACTTCCTCCGCTGCTCGCCCTCCCATGGTCACTGTGCAGGTCGGACGGGGACCGGGTATACTCCGGCCGTTTCCTCTCAAACACTGACGTCGTCGGCCCCTTGGGTTTCCTCGCCCCCATGCTGCTCGCCTGCGACCCGTACACCGCTGACACGGCGCGCGGCGATTGGTCGATCCCGGATTTCCGCCCGTCCTTGCTCTTCTTGTCATCGTCATCGTCGGTGCTACTACTGTCGTCGCCAGTCCTGCTAGGGGCTACTCTAACGCCCACTGCCGCTAGCTGGGATGCAATCTCGTCCTCCCAGGATAACCCTGAGGGCGCTCGGGCCTGAATATGCCCTTTGATTTTCTCCCTGCCTTTCCTCTCGCCCCCTTCTTTCGGAGCCTCACCCTCTTTTTGCGGCTCCGCGCCCTCTTGTGCCCCTCCTTCCGTCCCTTCCCCGCCTCCTCCTCCAGCTTTTGCACCTCCTATGTCGTGCTTTCTGCTCTTAAGGTCCACTGCTGACCCGCTGCCGCCCCGCGCAATCATCACACTATGAGTACCGTCCTTCTTCCGAGTCACTATCCCCGTCATTGCCCCCGACTTTCTCGTGCTGCTGCTGCTGCTGCTGCTGGTACCACCCTCTCTTGCACTACCTCCCCCACCCTCCTTCGCGCTGCTGCTCTTGCTACTCCGCCCCTCCCCCTTCCCCCCGCGAGAACTCGGCCGCTCCCCCCGCTCCCCCTTCCCCCCCTCCCCCTTGCTCCCCTCCCCTTTACTCCCCACAACCGCGATCCCCACAACCCCGCCCGCGGCCGCGCAACGTCTAAGCTCCCCAAACCCCACCTCCCAGTTGTTACTACTCTCCGCAGAAACCCTCGTTAGCTGCACGGACCACGTGCTACGGCTCCTCATAGCCGCATACTCCGACGTTATCCCTATAGACGCATCGAACATGAGGTTCAACCCCGCTTGTAGCACACTCCCCGGCCCCTCCGGTGCCCCCATTTGGGAAAAGTCCATGGATAGGGATGGGCTCATTCGGCCTTGTAAACCCGAGAGCCATAGGGATCCGTCGGAAATACCCCCGCCGCCCCACCCGAACCTCGGGCTAGGCGGGTCGTTCAGGCCTGGGTCGGATGACGACGAAAGCCGCCGCCCCTTGGCTGCTTTCGCTGACGCTGCGGCGACTGCTAACGCGGACGCCCCGCGTTTCGTTTTTTGTTGCTTTGACGACTTTGGGTCAGGCACGGCCGAGGTGAGGGCTTCACTTAGGTACGGGTACGCGCCATGCCAGGCGTCTGTGGGGTTCTTTAATCGCCATAGCTCTCTTGAAAACCGCTGCGACACAGAAACTGGCGGCGCTGCTTTCCCTCCCCCTGCCCCGCCTGCTCCCGCTCCCCCACCTTTCCTTCCCTTTCCTGCTAACGGCGGCAGACCTCCGCGCTTCCCCCCTCCGCCTCCCCCTTCTCTCCCCGCACCCGCCGCCGCCGCTGCCGCGGCCGCTATGGCTTCCTTATGCTCGGTCGAGAACACAAAATCATCATCTTCGTCGAATTCTTCTAACGCCTTCTGTAGCCGCGTTTTTCCCTCCGGCTTAATATACTCCGGCTCTTGATCCTCCTTAGTTAAGAACTTCTTAGGCGCGCCCGGGTACAGGTACAGCACGACGCGCGGCGGAACGACGCCCTTGTTGGCGGAAACTACCGCCTGGAGCTTCCGCTCGAGGCGCTGGTGCGCGGAGAAGGATAGCACCCCCCCGCGCTCGTGCGCGCGAAAGTCCTCCAGGAGATTTTCCAGGTGGTACCGCGCCTGGGATCGGCCCAGGCACTCGTGCGCCGCTAGCGTGCAGATGGTGTCTTTATGAACTAGGAATATCAGCATCACCTGGTCCCAGCTCTGGGGGGAATAGGGGGAAAGGAAAGGAGGGAAGGAGGGGAATGGAGGGGAAAACATGGAAGGGAGGGAAAGGAGGTGAAAAATGGAGGAGCTGGATCACTCGTACGCGGCCAGCGTGCAGATGGTTCGCTTGTGCAGGAGCTAGATTGACCTCTCTTGATTCTGTGAGGTGTTCCGAAGACACGCTGACGAACTTTCTGGACGGTCAAATAAGTCAATCAAGGTCAAACGGCAAAAGAAGGAAAAAAAAAAAAAAAAAAAAAAAAAAAGTTCACGACGTCAGAGGCGGTGGTAACATAAATGGGAGTCCGACAACCTCAAGATGAGCCGCAAGCCCTAAGTTTTAATCTACTCCGAAGCTACAACGTACTGGCACTTACTGGGGGGTGGGGGGGGGGGGGGGGGGGAGGTGGGGGGAGGTTCCGGAAACAGCGACCTCTTGCAGATATACGAGTTAGAAAGCACATGAACCTACCAACGCGTCAATCAGCGAACCTACCAATGAGAACCATCGCGCGTGCTTCGGAACCTTCTTCGCCGCTTCAAGGAGGAAATCGTCGAATTCTCCTTTCAGAGGACTGTACGATATGAGGACATCGGAGCCTCTCGATATCCCCAGGCCCAAAATAAGCTCCTGCTCATTACGCGTCGACATGAAACCCTAACTCGAGCCTGCTTTGAGACGTGTCAGAACACGACTACTGCTCGCTTCGACATGAAAACCTAGTTCGAGCTTGTACAGACTGGAAGCGGGTGCGCGCTAGAGCTTGCTGGGAGAGGCGCAGCATGGAAGTGTCAATGCTGAGCGGTCCGATGCGGTTGAGACTGGTGGAACAAAGGGAAGCCAAGCCGTCTACTTGGTATTGAACAAAGCAGGTGCATGCGTATCTCGGACATTGCTGAAACAGAAAGCTTAATGAGAAGAATTGAAGGTACGACGCTCGGAGCCCTGATGCTTGATGAGAAAACGCGAAGCAACGAGGTCGGTAAAGTAGCCACTAACTTTCAGATGGCGACGCGAGGTGAAACTGTGTTTCACAGTAAAAAAAGAGCCACCTTGGCAGCTAGATATTGTGTTGAAAAAACAACTCGATTATAGTCTCATCAGGAGCACGGAAGGCTGCGCAGCCAGAGAAGCACAAGAATATCACAAATGAAACTATTACTGGTTTGTTCAGGCAGCCATGGATGGTTGGCACAAAACTCAGGCTGAGAGCTGAAATAGGGTAAGTTGGGGAATAGCTGATGACAAACCAACCACCGAACTAATCCCAAGGGTCGCGACAGGAGGGGCGAATTTTAAGCGACGCAGTAACGCTTCGTATAGATGCTTTTGCGACGTTTTTGCGACTTCAGTCTGGAGCTGGTTGGTGGGATGAAACTTCAAACCAATTGCGGTGGAGCGTCGTGCGAGCTTGCGACTTGGAGGTTCGCGGAGTACATCACCTGGAGAAACACATTTTCGCGTGGTTCTTCTATTCGTCAAAAAGTCTCCAGAGGCGAAGGCCCTCGCGGAATGTACGACTTCGTCAGGCTGGAAAATCCTGCTGAAAAGCGCGGGATTGCCACGTAATTGGTACAATTACCCGCTGGAGCTGTGCGTTACCACTATCACCCTCCGTTTCGTGAAAGTGCGCAACTTCGAGGCTCCATCTTTCAGTGTGCAGTGTAGCCTCTCGCCAACCGCCATATCTGCTTTCCCCTCCTCCAGGGTCCTGTCCTGGTCCTTTCTCCTCCAGATTCCTGCTGGAATCCTGCTTTTTTCTACGTTTGCTGCGTTTGTAGGAAGCAGAACCCAGGAATCCGGCTGCCGTCCTGTCTTCCTTCATCCTTTAGACGGTCATTCCCGCCTTCACGGATAATATTCTCCACGGTTCTTCAAAATGATGTTGACCTTTTCAAGGAATCTGTTTTGTTAGTCAACGGTTATTAGGAGGTGATAAGCTGTTAGATGTGACTGCAGGGGTCTAAGGCTCAGGAGCAGTCAACGTCAAACTTGCTGTATACGCATCTTTAGCACGCAGTATCAGTGCAGTTGCAGTGCTGTTGGCGTTTTCGGGGACCCAATCACAGACTCGTGTAGTTAGACGAGAATCCGGCTCTCCAGGATGACGCGACTGTTCCTCCCAAGTAGAGCGAGAGTGACGGAAGCAGAACGAGATGAAGGTCAGATTATATCGCTTCAATTCTTCAAAGAATTCCTGGTTACCTGACAGATCGTGACGTGACGAGACGCCACGACGAGACGCCATGACTAGACGCCGTGATGCGTGGAGGTCCGCCATGGCGTTCTGTCTCGTGGAACCTTGCGACCATATTCTTCGGGATGACGTGACCGCAGCCGCGCGGATCTGCTTGTCAATGGAATCGCTGCTGCTGCGGAACCGCGTCTTTAAGATTTTCGAAAGCGAACTCTGTGAATCTGGAGTTGGTCTCTTCGATTACAAATTGACGGATTCGGTCCTCATTTAGTACAGATCAGCTCAGCTGGCATTCGAACCAAAGAGAAAGCTGTGCAAGATTCAAATTCCAGCTTAGAATCATTCTGAGCTATCTCTTAAATTCAAAGAACCGCCATGGCTACCGCTGCATCTTCCAACCTGCCTCTGCGCCTCGTCTGGCTGTTTTCGGTGGTTGCTTTCACGCATCCTCTCAGGTAAGCTCATCCCATTCACATCTAACCATTGTCTCGGCCAGAACTATTTTTTTCAAATGTAATTGCACATCTGTCCATTTGCTTATAAGCTCCAACACTCCTTATTTCGCCTGTCAGTCTCGTACACCACCTGTTGAAAGTATCATCGTGTCTTAGCTTTCCGCGCCTGTGTCCGAGTCGCCTATTCTATTCCCAACCTTGCTTTCATCCTTCTTATCCCTCGCATGCCTCTGAACCTCGCATTCGTCACTGGCAGGGACGTCTCTGGCCGTGGCCTCTCATGACAAGTCGGCAATGACAGCTGGGACGACAAGTGAAGCCACAGTATCTGAAGCTGCGAGCGACGCCATGGGAACCCAATCGCTCGTTTTCAGGCATCGCAGCCTGCTCAGCTCCACCTCTCCAGAGCCCTTGTCTGTGACCCCCTCGCCTCTCTTCAGACTGCCACCAGCTTTGGTGGAGATGGAGGGATGAGCCCTCCCCCACCCCCACCTTCCCCTCCTTCTGGGGAAGGCTGTAGCTGCTGTTCTGACTGTGGCTGTGGCAGTGGCAATGGTGGTGGGGATGGGTCTAATGGCGATGGCAACAGTGACGGCAATGGCGGGGATGGCGATGGGAGCAGCAGCGTCATTGGTGGCATCTGGTCGCATGTGGCATCGTGGCTCCACATGCTCGGAGGTGATGGGGGCAATGGCGATGGTGGTGGGGACGGTGGCATCGGAAACGGAAATGGCAACGGCGACGGTAACGGCAATGGTTGCTGCTGCTGCTGCTGTGGCAATAGCAACGGTAATGGCAATGGGAACGGTTGCAGTAACGGCAAGGGCAACGGTAACAATAACAACAATGTGTATCTCAATGGCAACGGCAACGGCAACGGCAATGGCAATGGCAACGGTGATGGGAACGGGAATGGCAATGGCTGCTGCTGCTGCTGCTGCTGCTGTGGCAACGGCAATGGCAACGGCAACGGTAACAACAACATCAATGTCAACAGCAACGGCATCGGCAACGGAAACGGCAACGGGAACGGCAATGGGAACGGCAATGGAAATGGTGATGAGAACGGAAACGGCAATGGCAATGGCTGCTGCTGCTGCTGCTGCTGCTGCTGCTGCTGCTGCTGCTGCTGCTGCTGCTGCTGCTGCTGCTGCTGCTGCTGCTGCTGCTGCTGCTGCTGCTGCTGCTGCTGCTGTGACAATGGCAACGGTAACAACAACATTAATGTCAACAGCAACGGCAATGGAAATGGCAACGGAAATGGCAATGGCAACGGCAATGGAAATGGTGATGGGAACGGAAACTGCAATGGCAATGGCCTCTGCTGCTGCTGCTGCTGCTGCTGTGGCAATGGCAACGGTAACAACAACATTAATGTCAACAGCAACGGCAATGGAAATGGCAACGGAAATGGCAATGGCAATGGCTGCTGCTGCTGCTGCTGCTGCTGCTGTGGCAACGGCAATGGCAATGGCAACAGTAACAACATCAATGTCAACAACAATGACGATGGCAACGGAAACGGAAATGGCAACGGCGACGGTAACGGCCATGGCAACGGCGACGGTAACGGCAATGGTTGCTGCTGCTGCTGCTGTGGCAATGGCAACGGTAATGGCAATGGGAACGGTTGCAGTAACGGCAATGGCAACGGTAACAATAACAACAATGTCTATCTCAATGGCAACGGCAACGGCAATGGCAATGGCAATGGCAATGGCAACGGTGGTGGGAACGGGAATGGCAATGGCTGCTGCTGCTGCTGCTGCTGCTGCTGCTGCTGTGGCAACGGCAATGGCAACGGCAACGGTAACAACAAAATCAATGTCAACAGCAACGGCAACGGAAACGGTAACGGTAACGGAAACGGAATCGGCAATGGAAATGGCGATGGGAACGGAAACGGCAATGGCAATGGCTGCTGCTGCTGCTGCTGCTGTGGCAATGGCAACGGTAACAACAACATCAATGTCAACAGCAATGGCAATGGAAACGGCAACGGAAACGGCAATGGAAATGGTGATGGGAATAGAAACGGCAATGGAAATGGTGATGGGAATGGAAACGGCGATGGCAATGGCTGCTGCTGCTGCTGCTGCTGCTGCTGTAGCAATGGCAACGGTAACAACATTAATGTCAACAGCAACGGCAATGGAAACGGCAATGGCAATGGCTGCTGCTGCTGCTTCTGTGGCAACGGCAATGGCAATGGCAACAGTAACAACATCAATGTCAACAACAATGGCGATGGCAACGGAAACGGCAATGGCAATGGCAATGGTGACGGGAACGGGAACGGCAATGGCAATGGCTGCTGCTGCTTCTGTTGCTGTGGCAGTGGCAATGGCAATGGCAACGGTAACGGTGACAACAACATTAATGTCAACAGCAACGGTAACGGCAACGACAATGGTAACGGTGATGGGAACGGGAACGGCTATGGCAATGGCTGCTGCTACTGCTGCTGCTGTGGCAGCGGCAACGGTAACATCAATGTCAACAGCAAAGGCAATGGCAACGTCAACGGAAACAGCAATGGCAATGGCAATGGCAATGGCTGCTGCTGCTGCTGTAATGGCAATGGCGACAGTGGTGCTGGTGGGTCTGGCATTCATGGGATTGGCTTCGTTCACAGCAAGCTCAGCGCTCACAGCAACAGCAGCAGCGCCAGCCGTGCCAGCCGCGCTAGCAGGGCCAGCAGGGTCAGCAATGCGCGTGCCAACTGTATCACTTGACGAGGAAAGCTGTTCTGTTTGCTTGCTGTTGATTCGTGTTACCAGCTATCTCATGTTTTCCTGGAGCATACAGTGAAGGGTTCGTGCACCACAGCAAGTTTGATGATTCTGTTCTCTTTTGCTCACTTGACACAGCAACCTGCAGGGCATAACGGTGCAGATTTTGTCTCATACCTTTACTGTGGAAGCCCAGGTTTTATGGCCTGGAAGCATGGAATGGGTGGGACACATGTGGTTGTAGCTACGAGCTTTGCCTCGTTCGTGCGCTTGCTGCGGAAGCCCAAATTGTATGTGTGGGAAGCATGGAATGGGTGGGGCATATGGGATGGTATGGGTAGGTAACAGGTTATGGGTTGGTAACAGGGTATGGGTTGGAAAGAGGGTATGAGTGGGAAACATTGAATTTTGGGAAACAGGGTACGGGTGGGAAACATGGTATGGGTGGAAACGTGGTATGGTTGAAGCATGGTATGGGTGGAAACGTGGTATGGTTGAAGCATGGTATGGGTGGAAACGTGGTATGGTTGAAGCATGGTATAGGTGGAAACGTGGTATGGTTGAAGCATGGTATGGGTGGAAACGTGGTATGGTTGAAGCATGGTATGGGTGGAAACGTGGTATGGTTGAAGCATGGTATGGGTCGAAACGTGGTATGGTTGAAGCATGGTATAGGTGGAAACGTGGTATGGTTGAAGCATGGTATGGGTGGAAACGTTGTATGGTTGAAGCATGGTATGGGTGGAAACGTGGTGTGGTTGAAGCATGGTATGGGTGATTGAGAGGGTTCTCCAACCACTGGGTTTCGCTACGCATCTGTCGCTACTGCAGCAGCAATCACTACTAACACCGCTGACGTCATGCTGCCACTACACCAGCTGTTGCCACTGTGGTTACTGCCGTAGCGGCGGCAACGGTAGCGGCTGTGGGAACATATGTGGTCCGTGCTGCTGCGGCAACACAACAGCAAAGGCTGTGCCAGCTGTGGGGCCTGTGGCTGCTGCTGCTGGTGGTGGAAAGATCGGGAACAACCACAAGACTCGTTGCACTTGCTGTTAGAGCTGCCACATTCTGCGTACATCTGCAATGGCAATGCCTGAAGTTGCAATTCTGGTGAACCGTGGTGTCGCTACGGTGACAGAGCACACAGATACAGCGCCGACAACGTTTTGCAAGACATGCAAGAGTGAAGTGGCCAAATGCGCTGCCATGTCGTTGGTTGTTAAATGTGCCTCTTAACATTTTGATGCACTGGCGGATTTTTACACTAGGCTTTTGGAAAATTGAAGTCTCGTGTAACACAGGATCTTTGTGTGGAAAGACAGTTTCACGAGTACTGTACAGATTGAACTCACCACGTGCTTCTGATGAGGACGCCATGTCGAAGCTACCTGAATCTGCATGCGTGGAAAGAGATGCTTCGGTTCGGTTCGCCGCGTGCCATGACGACGTAAAGCCAGCTTCTGACGCACGGCAAGGCATCTTTACCATACACCCCAGAAAGCCTTCACCAACCACCATCATCTATCCCAACCAACCTCAAACCCATGCCTTTCTCCCAAGCCACCAGGTGTTCCAGAGTTACTGTAGCACGGTGGACGCCATTGGTTGGGGCTGCGCGAAAAGCTTCGCGATGCGACGCGATCAAAGAATCCCCCTCCACACAATTTGACACGCTCCCAGCGTTAGCGACCGAAATGGTAACTACAGTAGCTTTTCTCGATCAATCACACGCGAGTCGAGTGACCCTTGATGTGACGGATGAGCCACTTCCCCGCCATGCATGACACGACGCCAAAACCTCCTGTCACCAATCTCTGCAAAGGCTCGGGCCAGGCCTTGTCGCTGTCGACGCGTTGGCTCGGCACCGCAAACCAGGCAGTGAGGAAGCCCACAGGCAAGGCATTCCCAAGGTCTAACGGCTACTTCGCCCTTGAAAGTTGTCGCTCCCATTCCACCTCGTCTACCTCTCCTGGGTTGCCTTGATCACTTTTCCGAGGCATAGGCCAGGCAGTGAATAAGCAAGCGCACACCACACCAACAACACCAGCAGTTCTTATTGCGAGCAGGCGAGCTATCTTTCCATATTCGAACGCTCATTGCCTTCCCTAGCCTTTTTACCGATTCAGCTGTTGTTGACTTCCCTTCTGCGCTATCTTCGTGAAGCTAGGATTTGCTGTTTGACTCTCTCGGTAGATTTCAGTCACTGCAAAGTTATGGCTATCGAGACTGTCATGGCCGCTGTCCTCTACATCCACGTTCCGTGCTTCGCGGAGGGGTAGCGAACCTTAATAATTACCTTCCACCATCATTGCCGTCGTCCTGAGCCGTTTTTTGAGGTGTCTATCGCAAGCGTTCCGCTCCACTTCCCACGACAAAAGAACTTGCAAGAAACGACTGATCGGCGCGTGCAATTCAGCGGCGTTCGGTCCGTTCTCGTTACAGTCGAATTCAGTCTCGCATATGGTGTCTTACACCGCATCATGGCACTCACCAGCAACGACTTACGGATTAGCACTGAGGCATGGAAAAGGCAACCCATCAGTATATTCCGGCATACCCGGGACTCCAACGGAAGCTCGTCAATACGCCTCTTCTAAACTAGCCATTGACATAAATTCCAGCGTCGCATCTCGTTCGCCTACTTTATATGGCGGACAAACTGTAGCTTACAAGCCTCCTTCAGAACCTTCTCGCCTCTTTCAAGTTCAGATTTCTAAGACTAGCTCATATTTTCCTCGTTTTTCTGGTTTTCAAAGGAACCTTTCTGGTACTTTTAGCTCATCTAGGTTCGGCTTTCCCCTTGTCACCGACGAACCAAGAACTCTAGTTTCCACGCATGCCAGCTACACGAGGCTCGGAAACAACGGCGGTCACTCTAAGCTCGGAAGCAACGGCAGAATCCGCGGCAAGCCCAGGACCAGCAGGCGCATCAGGTATGGCGAAAATCTCGCTAAGGCCTGGAGAGGCAGCAGGAGCGGGAAGGGCTCGGTGGTGTGTGAGACGGCAGACGGCAGCAGCCCGCGCGATTGGGCTCTGGGCGATGATAAGGGACCCGGGAGGGGGGGCACGGGAGGCTCCACGTGGGAATTGGAAGAATCCGAGCAGGCTCGTGCCAATTGCAAGCCGCGACGGGAGGAGGCTTTCCCGATCCCTGGCAGCCGTCGATTGGTGGGCGATCGGACGGATCACGGGGGGCACGGGATGATCAACGGCAGCCCGAAGGGCTGTCCTAATGGTCAGGCTTATGGCAGTGAAAATGGCTGGCAGAATGGCCAGATGAATGGCCGAGTGAATGGCTATGTGAACGGTAAAGTAAGTGGCCATGTGAATGGCTACGCGAATCGGAACGTGAATGGTCAGGTGAACGGCCAGGTCAACGTCCAAGTTAACGGACAGCTGAACGGCAAACTCAACGGCCAAGTTAACGGCCAGGTGAACGGCAAGGTCAACGGCCAAGTTAACGGCCAGGTGAACGGCAAGGTCAACGGCCTACTTAACGGCCAGGTTAACGGCAAGGTCAACGGCCAAGTCATCGGCAAGCCCAACGGCCAAGTCAACGGTCAACTCAACGGTCAAGTCAACGGCCAGGGGCCTGCGGTGGGGCCGTACGAGTACCCGTTTCCGGACGTGATGTCGTGGGCGTGGGACGCGGACAGCAGCGCGTGGAGCCACTTCGAAAATGGAAACGCTCCGTCCGGCCAGCAGCTCCTGAGCTACGACGATAACGGAAATGTTGATGCCCATGAGAAAGATAATGCTCAGTCTGGTGCCGGCGGCGGCGGTATCGGAGCTGCTGCTGCTGCTGCAGAAGCGGGAAATGCGGAAGGGGCGCTTGAGCTTGCGCGCGCGGTTGCGCTGCGGGCTGTAGCACGGGCGGTGGCGGTAGTGGCGGTGCTGCGGTCCGCGTTGCCGTATGGCAGCTGGTGGCGCATGGAAGAGGATGCGGAGAAGGCGCAGGGGCAGGGGAAAGCGGCTGGGAAGAACATGGGTCACGAGGCGGCGGCTGGTGAGGGGAAGGGGGAAGGCGGAGCGGAGCCGGCGGAAGCCGAGGGGGTGGGGAGCCTGGCGGATGCGGGTCGCAAGCTGTGGCGATTTTGCGCGCCGGATAAGGCACTGGTGGTGCTGGCGTTCGTCTTCCTGTCGCTTGCTGCGGTGAGTGGCTGTGTGGGGGGGGGAATATGGGATGCGAGCAATGTGATTTATAGGGCATGAGGAACATGGAATGAGCAATAAGGCATTGTGCAAAACGTGAATGTATGTTACAGTGCATGCGTAGCTCTGCTTTATTTGCATTGGCCGTTCGACTCTCTGTGCCACGTGGCAGATATCGGAGGTGACGATCCCGCATCTGCTGGCGTCGACAATCTTCGCGGCGTCCAACAACATGGGCGCGCAGTTCGCGCACAACGCCAAGCTGCTCGTCGCGCTCACGCTCGCGTGCGGGGCCTTCAGGTATGCACGTGTGTGGGAGGTTGGGTGGGTGGGTGGGACATGCAGCCTGTACGGTGAGCATTCATATTCATATCATGGTCGCCGCGAGGGCATCTAACAAGATGAGCGCGCAGTTCTCGCACAACGCCAAGCTGCTCGTCGCCCTCACGCTCGCCTGCTGGGCCTTGAGGTGCGTGCTTGCGCGGGCTGTGCAGGAGGCTGTCCGGAGCAACCAGATGCACTATGACGCGCTCGTATCCACTCATATTCACTCGCATATAGTCGTATCCATTCATGTGTATTGGACGCAGATGCGTGCTTGTTCTGTTTCACAATTCCCAACATGCACGTGGTATGCCGCTTGCCCACTCACTCACTCCCTTCCTCCCTTTTGAGTCGACTCAAAAGTCACGTGGTATGCAGATTGCCCACTCACTCACTCCCTTCCTCCCTCGATCCTTTTCTTTTTTTCCCCTTCCCGCCTCCCCTCCCCGACCGGCACGCAGCGGGCTGCGCTCCTTCTGCTTCACGGTGCTCAACATGCGCATGGTGTGCCGCATGCGAGAGGCGCTCTTTTCAACAATCATGCACCAGGTATGCCCGTCGTCCCCACCATTGCATGCACCACCTCTTACCCCCGGCTCTTACTGCCGACTTCTGTTATCCCCCCCACCGTCCGCCCCACACCAATAACAGCCGTGAGGTCAGCCTCTTTTTCCCTCCCCTTCCATCCCCTCCCTTTCCCCTCTTCCGTCCACTCCCTCACCCGTTACCCCCTCCCTCACCCCCAGGACGTGAGTTTCTTTGACAAGGAATCAGTAGGCGACCTGACGTCACGCCTGGGCACGGACTGCCAGCAGGTGGCGCGGAGCACAGCGGGGGACGTCAACGTCATGCTGCGCACCCTGCTCCCTCCTCCTCCCTTTCCCCCTTCCCTACCACATGCCCCACCGTTTCCACAGGCCTTCACTGGTGCTGCTGCCTTAATGCATGTGTACCTCACCCCTCCTCATGTCTCCCCACCGCTCCCCACTGCTCCCCACCGCTTCCCACACCCCCAGGACGTGAGCTTCTTTGACAAGGAATCGGTAGGCGACCTGACGTCACGCCTGGGCGCGGACTGCCAGCAGGTGGCGCAGAGCACAGCGGGGGATGTCAACGTGATGCTGCGCAACGCGCTGCAGGGCGCGGGCGCCATGTGCTTCCTGCTGCGCCTCTCCTGGCGCATGGCGCTCATCTCCGCGGGCCTGTGTGCCCTCATGTGGTGCTGCCTCGTCGCCTACGGCAGGTACGGCTGATTCTCTGGCTGGTGCGGTGGGTTTGCTGGCAGCTATGGTAGCTATGCGACAGGTACCGCTGGCTGACAGGTGTTCTTGACTGGCTGCTTGGCTGATTGATGGGTTGGTGCGTGGTGATTTTGTTAACATTGTTGCTTATGGCTTGTACTCTGGCCCTTGTGCTTACAATGGATGGGCTGTGTGTATGTTGTGTGTGGATGTCCATTGATGTGTGTTTGCAGGTTCCAGAGGGAGAGCGCCCGCCTCATACAAGACACTGTTGCATCAGCCAATGAGGTGAGCGCGTGGCTTTAGCTCTGCTCCACTGCACTGCCCTACTGCCTCTCTGCCTCACCAGCTCCTCCCTCCCTGTAGTCTCCCTGTCTTACTGCCTCGCTGCCTTACCGCTTCGCCCTGTCTTACTGCCTTCCTGCCTAACCGTCTCGACCCACCGGTGGTGTTGCAGGTGGCAGAGGAGACCATCTCACTGGCCCGTGTGGTCCGCACCTTTGGCACGGAGCAGCAGGAAGTCAACAGGTGGGTGCTGCTGGGTGCTTCTGAGTGTTTTAGGGTGCTGCTGGATGCCGGTGGCTGTTTTTGTGCTGCCAACTGCTGCTAATTGCTGCTGGTGGAAAGGAAACGACAATGTCTCTTGTTTCTCTTCCTTGGTACCGCACTCCATCAGGTATAAGGTGGCGCTGTCGCTTTTTGAGTCGACTAGAAAATCTTTCGCTCTCTCACTGGCTCCCACCCCACCAGGTACAAGGTGCCGTTGCAGCGCCTGCAGCATGTGGGTCTGAGGCGCTCTGTGGCGTATGGCATGTGGAACTTTGGCGGCAACACCATCTACAATGCCACACAGGTATGGGTCATGCCATGCCATGCCATGCCATGCCATGCCACGCCATGCCGTGCGGTTCCGTGCCGCCATTCCGTGCTGTGCCATGCCATGCATTCCGTGCTGCATGAATCAACTATACGGAACCCCTCGTTCTTACATCAGCTAACAAAGCTGAGCAAAATACTGGCCCATGCATGTCTCTAACCTGTGACCTTCGCGTTATTATCACGACTCTCTAACCTTACTTCATTTACAGAGTTTATATGTACAATATGTACGAAGTAACGACTCACTAGCTAGGAGTGGAAAGGGAATAGAATGACATATGAGTTTGAGAAGCACAAGAGAACGGTTTCAGGTGGAAACTAACAGCAGAGGCGGTCATGCTCTTCAGAAACTGAACCCAACACTATGCCCCAGAGGCAGTTTCAGGTGCTTACGTTGCTCTAACCAGCTGAGCTAACAGGCCATATCTGCAGTGTGCCTTGCCATACCGTGACTGCCTTGCCATGCCTTGCCATGTCATGCCGTGCCCTGCAATGTCATGCCATGCCATATCATGTGTCTGATCCTCCTTCCCTCGCTTTCTCCCTGCAGTGCACAGCCCATGTCCATGTCCCTTGCAGTGCACAGCTCATGTCCATGCCCCTTGCAGTGCACAGCCCATGTCCATGCCCCTTGCAGTGCACAGCCCATGTCCATGCCCCTTGCAGTGCACAGCCCATGTCCATGCCCCTTGCAGTGCACAACCCATGTCCATGCCCCTTGCAGTGCGCACAGCCCTCTAGGTGCTTGCACCGACCACTGACCCCTCCTTCCCCACCTCTCCTCTCACCCCTCCCACCAGGTTGTAGCCCTGATCATGGGCGGCAGTGCAGTGATGTCGGGGGCGACCACAGCAGAGCAGCTGATGCAGTTCCTTCTCCCTCCGCCCATATCAATTCCTTTCTTTGCGTAGAACCCCACACCATGTCATCCACCTGTCAGGTGCTAGCGCTGATCATGGGCGGCAATGCAGTGATGTCGGGCGCCATCACAGCAGAGCAGCTCATTCCCTCCGCCCATATCATACCTTCCTTTGCGCACAACCCCATGTCACCCACCTGTCAGGTCCTTGCCCTGATCATGGGCGGCAGTGCAGTGATGTCGGGCGCCATCACAGCAGAGCAGCTGACACAGTTCATTCTGTACGCCGAGTGGGTGGTGCACGCCACCTGGTGGGTGGGCGACCACTGGGCGTCCCTCATGGACTCCCTGGGCGCCTGCAGCCGCGTCTTTCAGCTGTTAGACCTGCCTCCCTCGCCACAGCTCGCCAAGACACAAGGTGAGCTCGCACAGGGCAATGTTAGCCCCACATATCAGATCACATTCCTAGGCTCATGTGCACGCCACCCCACACCACGCCACCTGGTGGGTGGGCGACCGCTGGGCGTCCCTCATGGACTCCCTGGGCGCCTGTATCCGTGTCTTTCATCTGCTGGACATGCCTCCCTCGCCACAGCTCGCACAGACCAAGGGTAGGTCACACACATACAGGGTGGGTTGGGTTGTGAGTGTCCATGCGTTCATGCTTTCATGCGTTCATGTGTTCATGCATTGACGCCACAATCTCATGTCTGTGTGTGCTAATCCCATGTCTTCTGAGTCGACTCAAAAGTTCATGCGTTCATGTGTTCATGCATTGACGCCACAATCTCATGCCTGTGTGTGTTAATCCGATGTCTTTCCCCATGCGTGCTGGCAGGCGTACAGATGCCATGGCTGCAAGGCAATATAGAGTTTCGGGATGTGTCCTTCCGATACCCGACCCGTCCTGAGGTGCGTGCTTTCCTTCAATCTACCTCTCCATAATGATCTTAATGGTTTTTCTGTTGTGACGAGCCTTCTTTCTCTTTTGCGTCTGGAAAAAGAAATCATTCCTACCAGGCAAACAGCCCGCCTGATGTTTAAAAATTGCTTTGTGTAGGCGTCTAAAATATGTCTACTTGTAGGCCCCTCAAAAGTGTCAACCTTGCAAATGGCATGTGATGGGCAAAACAAAGTTCATCCTCTTGAAAGTCACTTCACACTCCCCTAGCACCTCCTGAAAGCCCCTGTCGGCGAGATCCCCTCAACCTGTCTGCTGCCGAAACCCCTGCTGTATCTTGCTGCTCCTGCAGGCTTTTGTTCTGCCCCACGTGAGTCTCACCATCAATACAGGCGAGCTGGTGGCGCTGGTGGGGCTGAGCGACAAACAGGGCAAGGAGAAAACTCATGAATTCTTATGGCAAGTGTATCCCTCTGTCCCGTTTGCGTGCATCTTCTGCAGGCTTCCGTGCTGTCCCACGTGAATCTGACCATCAATCCAAGCGAGCTGGTGTCGCTGGTGGGGCTGAGCGGCAAAGAGATGACCGCTTCTCACCCCTTGCTTTGGTCCACCCTTCCATTCTCCCCTTGCCCCTCCTGCAGACTCCTGTGCTGTCCCACGTGAATCTGACCATCAATCCAGGCGAGTTGGTGGCGCTGGTGGGGCTGAGTGGCAGTGGAAAGAGCACTCTCGTGGGGCTGCTGCAGCAGCACTACGAGCCCACACAAGGAGAGGTGAGAAGAAATTCTGAGAGGTTTCAAGAGGTTAGAAGGAGTTTTGAAAGATCAGCAACCTCTGTTTCCCACTCCCATCCCATTTTCCTACCCACGTTTCTCCCCCCTTTTCACCCAACGCTGCTGCCCTCCCCTGTTTCCCGACCCCCTTTCCCCCCAAACATGTTTCACATTCACCCGTTCCCCCTTCCTCCTCTTTCTCCTCTCCTGTGCAGATTCTTTTGGACGGTGTTCCTATAAAGGAGTTTGACACTAAATGGCTGCGCGGGCAGATGGGGGTAGTCAGCCAGGAGCCTCGTCTCTTCAGCACAGACGTGGCAGCAAACATTTCGTACGGCTCGGGCAGCCGGAAAAAGAGCCACGAGGAGATCACACGCGCGGCCTGCGCGGCCAACGCGCACGACTTCGTTTCGGAGCTGGCCGAGGGGTACGCAACAGTGGTGGACAACTCGCGGCTGAGCGGCGGGCAGAAGCAAAGGATCGCGATTGCCCGGGCTCTGGTTCGGGACCCAAAGATACTGATTCTGGATGAGGCGACGAGTGCGCTGGATGTGGAGAGTGAGAGGAACGTGCAGGGGGCTCTAGATGAGGCGATGAAGAGGGGGAAGAACGGCCGGCGTGATCGTACCGTCATTGTGATTGCACACAGGTGAGCGTGATTGCAGTGGAGAGGGGAATGGAAATGGTCGTGTGAAATATATTGATTCTGGATGAGGCGACGAGCGCGCTGGATGTGGAGAGCGAGAGGAACGTGCAGGGGGCTCTAGATGAGGCGATGAAGAGGGGGAAGAACGGCCGGCGTGATCGTACCGTCATTGTGATAGCACACAGGTGAGTGTGATTGCAGTGGAGAGGGGAATGGAAATGGTTGTGTGAAATATATTGATTCTGGATGAGGCGACGAGCGCGCTGGATGTGGAGAGCGCGAGGAACGTGCAGGGGGCTCTAGATGAGGCGATGAAGAGGGGGAAGAATGGCCGGCATGATCGTACCGTCATTGTGATAGCACACAGGTGAGCGTGATTGCAGTGGAGAGGGGAATGGAAATGGTTGTGTGAAATATATTGATTCTGGATGAGGCGACGAGCGCGCTGGATGTGGAGAGCGAGAGGAACGTGCAGGGCGCACTGGATGAAGCGATGAAGAGGGGGTAGAATGGCCGGCACGATCGCACTGTCATTGTGATTGCACACAGGTGAGTGTGATTACACACATCATGATGGGTTGAAAAGGGTTGTGACTGGCCTTGTGTGGTTGACTGGCCACATTGGCTGCGTTTGTGTATGCTGCCTCCCCCTCTTGGTTGGACAATGCCATGCATGTGCCAGTGGTGCGCTCGTTCTGATTGTTGATGGATGGGCTCCTTTCATACTCACCAAACCTCATTGACCCCCCTGTGCTGGAGGTCCTGTAACATTTCCTGTGTGTACGTGTCTATGAATGAACCCTTTTCCGTGCTCTATCTATGAACCCCGCTCTCTCTCGCAATTTGCATCAGGCTGTCAACCATCCAGGCAGCAGACCGCATTGTGGTGATGGCTCATGGCAGGATAACGGAGGTGAGTGCTGTGCAAGTATCTATGTAAGCATTTCGTACACATCTATATATTTATTTAATTTTGTTTATTCTGTTTGATGGCATTTTTCTTCACATGCTGACCAAGAATCCAACATGTTGCTGCCTTATCATTGTTGACATGGTGATCATGTCCTTGTTTTGGGCTCTTTTATATTTGATGCTGTCATGCCAGGTGGGAACACATGCACAGCTCATGGCCAAGGGTGGTGAATATGCCAGGCTGGTGAACATGCAAGATCATACACCAGCATTCGCTATGCCTTAGGCCGCTTCCGATGGTGTCATGCATTCATTGGATTCAAGGCTCCCAACGTTTTCACCTGTGTATATAGATTGGGGAGATGTATTGAGTCCGATATGAGACACTCTTGCTGGTAACCTTTTTAGTTCTGATTTCATAGGCTGGGATGGAATGGTTAAGTAGCTGTACGAGACTGAAAATCTTAATAATAAATACTTAGCTGCCTTCAGGAGTTCAATTCGCCATAATCCCAAAAAATCCCGCCTGCAATCGGAAATACTCACTATAGTGTCGTTTCCGCCACATCTACATCCCGCCAGTCATCTCTCGATTCCTCCAGTTGCCTCTCCCTTCACAATAGTCCCCCACTTTCCGCCAGTCCGCCTGTTTGCCAGCATTTTTCCCCCACCTCCCTCCCTCGACATTATCCCCTCCTCCCCCCTCCCCCTTCCTCCCACCAAACCTTCCGCCCTTCTTTCAACATGCGCCCGCCTCTTCCCCTCCGCCAACCCCTCGCTCATTGCGGTACACTGTTCCGCCAGCGCCATCCAAACCATCCATCCTTTCCTTACCTGTCCAGCCAAAGCCTATCTCCTTCATTTGGTTCAAAAACATCCATGGCTCCTAGCCCTAACACATGGGTTGTACCATTTTCGTGCATTCCAAGGATAGCCAGCTCTTTTTGCTGTCTGGCTTCACAGCGGAGACTTACCTCGTGTCTCGCCACGTGGTGCTAGTATGTTCTCAGTCTCGCGTAGGTTTCGCGGGTTGAGCCAGTCTGACGTGTCAGGCCTTGAGGCCACGTGGTCTTTATCTGAAGGTCAAATACCTAGAGCCGTCAGGCGAACCTAGGCCTCCACGCGCCTGCGGATGCCAAGCTAACATCGAGTCACGCGCCCCTACACGCACTTGCTCTCTGCGTTGTTTCAGGACACCGGATTGATTCTAAAAATTAAGAGGTTCTGGTGCTACGAAGTCTATCTGACGCTCACGACGCGTGTTCCTGGCTCGGACCGTTCACACCCTTAGTCATCAGCGCACGCACACGACGAGACGATGTTCTCCCTCCGTTTCATGGTTTCTCAGCTGTATATCCGCCGACCGTGTATCCTCCGACGAGAGCCCTACTCCTGCCGATTAAATGAAGCCGTATTTCCTCATTAAATGAATGGCCTTCGACGCTCTTCAATTCCTGGCTGCAGTCCCCGACCAGCCCGCTCCAGTCCCGTCCAGTTCGGTTCAGTTCGGTTCTGGCCGACCACGATCATCCACCCTCTAGAATTTCGCCTCACTCCATTCTTGCGCGCTTGTCCCTCGTTGCGAGGAGAGTACGTCACGTGCAGACCGGTCATTGCTCGCCTACCAGCAAGTTTCGAGTTACTTTCCCGCCGGAATAGGTTTTCCGCCTCCCGCCGGCCTTCCGCCAGCCTTTTCCGCCTTTCCCAGCCCTTCCCCGCCTTTCCAAAATTGTTCATGAGTTAGGCTCGGTACCGAACCAGCGAGTTAGACTTGGTGCTCATCGAAGGTACTAGAGTAGGGCTAGGTGTCGCCAACGACGCTCACCAGCGAATTGAGGAGCCACTGGCGACGACCGCTGGCGAAGAAGAGGGTTACCCGCAGCGATCGAGCTACGGCGCTAACGAAATTCGCGAGTGATCATGTTCTGCTGTTTCGCGCGGCCCAAGGCGGGCGACGACGACAATGTCAACGACGATTATGCGACGCCTGCGCCGCCCGCGCGAAGCACCCCGCGGAAGCCCGCACCTTCCGCATCTTCCCCCGTCGGCGACGCCGGCGTACGCGAATACGCCAGTAAAATGGCGGCCGCCGACGACCGCGTCGCCATGTCGTCGGTCGCCGTGTTACACGCCGCCCAAATTCGCAGCATTCGCTCAGAAAATGCCACCGGGATCAGCGGTGGCGGCGGCGCCGCCGGCGGCGGAGGAGGCAGCAGCGGAGGCTTTGGCGGAGTCGGCGGCGGAGGCGGCATTACCGCAGCGCATGGCGGCGGAGGAGGTGGGTCGGGTCGCGGGGGTTCCCGGGATGCTTCGTCAAAACCTCCTATAGCGACAGATAGAGGCAAGAGCCACATGGGGCCGGTAATTATGGCGGCTGGCCCGGGGCTAGGGTTTGGCCCATCGGGTATAGACATCAGACCAGGCAGCGGCGCAGGTGGCGGAGGGGGAGGTTTGGATGATCGGCCGAGCAGCGCCGGACCGACGACGATACAGCAGCACATGCAGCACCACCAGCAGCTGCACCAGCACCAGCAGCACTATGCCGCGGCCGTGGGATCGCGCGCAGTGAACAGTGCCGGATCCGTATCGTATCTCAACGCCATGCCTGGGCGGCAGCGCATCGTGGCTTGGCTGGAAGAATCGGATCAGTCGTTTGCGACGGTAGACGAAACCACGAACGAACCGGTGCGACTCAAGTCTCCGGGGGGTAAGCAGGCGGAAGGGGAGGGGGACGGGGAGGGGGGAGGGGAGGGGGAAAGCGGGCGGGAAGGGAGCGCAGACGCAGCGGCTCTGAAACGTCTCGGGTTGTTTCTTTCGAGCCTGCCCGCCGGGCAGTATGAAGACCGCGGCAGCCCCACAGCAGCGCCTCCGTCCGCCTCGGGGGAGTCCAGCGGCGGAGTGGGGGGACCCAGCGGAGCATGGAGCGCGGGAGGCGGAGGGGGAGGGGGCGGGGGAGGCAGCAGCAGCACGGGGACACACGGGCAGTCAGGTTATTCCGCCATGGCTACCGCGGGTTCAGGTGTTACTGGCCCGAGTTACACCAGCCCGGGTATTCCAGGGGGAGGTTTTACTGGCGCAGGCTTATCTGGTGCGCGCAGGGCTTCCCCGAGTAATTCCAAGCGGGACCTGCTTCCGCCTCCCGCGGGGGGGCATGGCGGAGGGGCGGGAGGCGGAGGTGGTAGTGGGGGGAATCCACTGGGGGGAAACCCGATGGCGCGGACGCGATCAAGCCAGGAGCCCGTGCGGTTGGTGCCGCAGATGGACAGCGCAGAGGAGAGCGCGCAGGCGGGCGCTGCGCCTTCCCCCCTCCCCGCTGCAGCAGGCGCGCTGGGGGGCGGATCCAGTGGGGCGGGGGGAGCCAGAGGCGCAGGTGTGTTGGCGCCGTCGTTAAGCTTTGCGAATGGGGTTGGTTCAGGCACGGGGGCAGGGGCGGCTAGTGGCGCAGGGGTAGGGGCTGGGACAGGATTGGGACCGGGGGCATCCGCAGGGGTTGGGGGTGGCACTGGCTCGGGTGCTGGTGCTGCTGGTGGCGCTGGTGGGGCTGGTGGCGCTGGTGGCGCTGGTGGTGCTGGTGGCGCTGGTGGGGCGAAGGAGAAGGAGAGCCTTCGTGTCCAGGCACTGAGTAATGCCATTCGGCACAGCAGTCACGGCGGGGAGAAGGACAGAGACAGCCACAGAGACAAAGAGCCGCTAGGCCGTTCCTCCACTCAGTACTCAGAAGAGGGAGGGTCAGCAGCAGCAGTAGCCGGATCAGCTGTTGCTGCCACTGCTGGGTTCGGTGGGAGCGCAAGAGGCTTGGGAGGGGGTTTTGCTTCGGACACTGCTTCGGATACGGCTGCAGGGCACGTGCATTTGAGGGATGGTAGCTTCCCCCCGTCCCCTGCTCCGGATAAGTCGTGGTATGCTGTGTCGCCATTGGTGGATTTTCACCCCGGGTCCAGTCCGCCGCCCCCTTTCGTTCCCGGGCAGAGTCCGCTGAGAGACAGTGGTTTTAAGCTGCCCTTGCCTGCTGTGGGAGGGAATGGGGCAGGCAATTCCGGGCACGAGGGATTAGGGGAGATACAGACTGATGGTGCCCGGATAGGGGCTGAGGGGAAGGGGGATGTTGAATCGTCTGTTGATGGTGGGAAGGGAGGTGCAGCTGAGGGTTCTTCTCACGAGGAAGCTAGTATGAGTTAGGGCTGTATTGCAAGCCTTTGGATGTGTGGATATTGTTGTGATGAAGGTCATGGGTGCAGGGGAGGGAGGATTTTGCAAGTGGGATTGGTCTGTGCTAGAAGGGATGAAATATTCTGTTGATTATCAGTGATGTGAGCAGGTTAGGCTGATATCTGTCATTCCTAGCGTGATATATGTCATTCTTAGGGTGATATATGCCATCCCGCAGCTGTTGCATTGGAGTGTAGCACAGGGGCTTAGGTGTACTGTGAAATGTTTGGCTGGATATATCTCAGCGGACAAGCGAGTCCGCCCGGGGGAGCTCGCTGCCCGCGGGCAAAAAAAACTAAACCCCATTCGGGCATGCATCCGGTCAGGCTTGACGACCCCTTTCGGCTGAGATTTTCATTTCGAATGAACAACCACCGTGACTGACTTCAACCACGAAAAACCATTTGCCAATTTGATTGCAGCGTTGGGTGGTTCATCCACCATCGCACTGAAGGGCGGGAGGACGGGGGTACTGTTGGAATACAGTATCGGGGCAGGATTTCAAAGAAAATCGTCCTTTTTTCTCAACGCACAAGACCGTCAATGCGCCACTGCTGCAGCCTCTTGCACAGTGAGTTGACTGCATGGCCGTTGCGCTGGTGGTTGGGTAGGTGTGGCTTGGATTTTGTTTTCGATCATCCTGCCATTTCAGGGTTACGATCAGGGCCTATGTTATCAGGGCAATTACCCTGTTTTGACTGAAAATATAAGGTGATTTTTAGAGCAGCCCTGATTTTCACAAGGTGATTTTCGGACCAGCCCGTAAAACTGAAGGGTGATTTTTGAGCCCACTCGGGGACTCCGGGTTGTTTTCGCGGGGACCCGGATAGATTTAGAACACTTTTATAGTCCCCGACCTGCCTCGCATCCCCTCCCTCTCCCCGTGTACAACGCATTGGCCAGTTTCAGTTAATTTTCCTTAGATTCGCTCCTGGTTGGGCCTCCAGGTGTTTGATTTCCGGTACTACGTTGACGTTATTAGTACTCCTCCATGCATATAAAACTTTTAAAGTCCACAGAAAGTCTCTCTCCCCCCCTCTAGCGCCGCTCTTTAATTTCCAACCTTCCCAGCCTTCGTGCCAACCCACTGTGAGTTTCACGAGCAATACCCCATCCCGCGAGATTCCGGTAAGGTGGTTTTCAGGCCTTTTCTGGCTCGAACCCGGATTCGTGAAGGCTTTTTTTCAGCTGGCTCGTAATTTACAGGGTATTTTTCACAGGGACCCGGATCGTCCGAGCTATAAAAAATCCTAGCAATAGCCCTGGTTACGATTTTGTGGCACCTCCCCAGGAGGGGTGGCACGAGGACGTTGCAGCCAAGCTGGAAGGGCGTGTTCCTATCTGCATTGTACGTTTCATAGGCTATTTCATCCATGCTGGCCGACGCATGGCTACTGGCCAAGGTGAGCCTTGGTGATTTCGGCAAAAGACAGTGATAGTAGTGGTATCGTCCAGGGGCATATCATAAATCTCGGATCTTGCAGAGTTGAGCTCTTAAAATCCGGAGAGGAACTTACGACCCGTTTCTAGAGAGCTAGGCCTAGAGAGCACCCAGTCTTTCAGGGTAACACTGTATAATAACATCAGCCTGGCGGAGGCAGGCACCAGACTCTGTCCTCTAGTGCCTGCCAAGCGCCATTTCAAGAAAGAGGAACGAACCGAAAATGTCAAACATCCGCACCTCGTACTGAACCTCGCCTCGAGGCTGGGCACAGGCATGAGAAAAGCGTTTCCGGCTAGGTGGGTACAGTACTTTCGGGTTTTCCCTCGCCTCCTTTCGCGGAGGAGGAGCTGCTTGGGGTTGCAAGCAGGAAAACAAAATCCCTCCTCTCGTTTCCCTCCCTCCCCTCCCTTGCCTCTTTTGTCCTTGACCTTGGTTTTGCCGCGAAGCGAACTCGCCCTGGCCTTGGTTTGTTCGGAGCGCTCCTTGGTTGGTACGGTACGGACGGAGGCGTTCTCTGGAGCAGGCCATTCACTGTTTCCACAGACCTACAGACAGAGCCAGGCCAGTGTGTGTGGAACAGTGCAGTTCTGTTTCTTCGCGCCGAAAACAGCACTTCTTTGAAATCACGCACCAAGCTGTTGCTTGGTTCGTTACGGTCAAAAGTGGTGCTAAATTATACCGTAGCTTACCTCCTGTAAAGTTACTGCACCGCGCTCTCTCCCGTGCAACGTCAGTAAGAGCGACGAGTGTGATCTCAACCACTCCGCTTGGTCTAGAGTGGGAGAGGCTGGAAAAGGTTCTTGCTTGGCACAGGTCGTTCTTATCCCGCCTTAGTATCTAGGACCTGGTCATTCTTAGTTATTTTGGCGTATTTGTGACCTGCGCTGTTCAGTGTTAAATTAGTGGTGGTACAGTTATTGTCAAGTGTCTGTTGATATAATTATCCTTCAATTAGCGGATGCTGGATTGAGGCAGAAGCGGGCGTAAAAAATTCATCGCTTCGATTGAAGGAGAGAGTTTCGATCTTCTTCAAAAGTCGCGACGTCTCAGATTCGAATACTTAATCTGTCGATCCTCCAGCGTCCCTTCTTATCTGACATGTTTACAGCTTGGAGCAAAACCGAAATCCAGAAGATGTTTTGACGGCGTCAAAATGCGAGTCGGACTCCTGCTCCGTGGCACGCACCCCGTGTCTACCAGCTATGGTGCAACCCCATGATAGACACTTAACAATTGACCCACGCTTACCCTACCCTGTCTATGAAGCCAGACAGCCAGGTGCTTCTTAATTACTGATTTGGACAGTATAGAATGACTCACAATTACACTGACGATGACATTAGACAGCCCGTCGAGAGTTCTCAACCGTGTGTGTAAGTCGGAGCCGCGAATCACGGTGCAACCGCCGTCCGTGCTGATGCTTCACTCGAAAATCTTGCAGCAGCAGCAGCAGCAACAACAACTACCACTATCAGAAGACGATAGCGAGCCGAGATATTACCAGTCGCCGGACAGTCTGCCAGATGGCATGTCGTCCGTACGATCCATGATGAACCCAGGAATCGACGGTTCTGGGAGAAGCGGAGCAGCAGGGGGAGGATTAGCAGGGACCGGCGGCTCGGGCCAGCGAAGTCCGGGTATTCCGCGATCGACGCGGTCCGTTGGCGGAATTGGACTCGCCGCCTTTGGCGGGGGAAAGGGTGGGAGGATCGGCGGAGCTGCAGGAATGACTGCTGCCGGTTCTGACGAAGCGCGATTTTCCGATCCATACGGAGGCGGGGACACGGCTTCAGGAAAAGAGTGGGAAAATACCGAACCTGGCAAAGCGTCTCGGCGAGCAACTTCGGACGGCGATTCATCCGGTTTTATCTCCAAACCTTCGAGTTTGATCCGGTCCCGAACCTTAGACGCAGATACGCTATGTGGGGAGGACGAGGACGACCCTAATAACGCAGGCTCGGGATCCTCCCCAAGCAGACCGTCAGGTCCGGACGGGCCGGTTGGAAATCCACGCCGCCGAGCCGAGCGTTCAGGTGCGGTAAACAGGCCTGGAACAGGGTCGTACCTGCCGATATACCGACAGATTGGCGTTCCGCGCAGTTCGTCGCACGACCCAGCGAGTGTGTTTGCGCAGAAGCAGCATCACGCCGGGTTCACTGGGCAGGAGTGGGAAGAAGCCCTTAAAGACGGCAGCGGCGGGGACAGCAGCGGACCGCCGAGCGGCGGAACGGGCTTCGGACGAAGCAACAGCGGAGGGGGGAGCGGGGGAGGGGGAGGAAGGGGGGGAGGGGGCGCAGGCGCGCGCGGAGGCGTCGGAGCCTCGGGAATGCCGAGATCGGCTCTAAGCGGAGCTGGTGCGTCGCCGTTTGCCATTCAGGGGAAGGTGGTATCCGGGGGAGGGCGATCTATGATGATGCCTCCGCGCAACTCGTCTGTCCCCGCATCGTTGCCCACGCATAAAGGCACGGCTACGGGGCTGCAAGACTCCGCGCGCGGAGGCGGCGGAAGGCAGCTCCGCGCGTTCGCGTCCGCCGCGCCAGGGCGCATGGACGGCCCCGCCGCCCTGGAGTCGGAGCTGGGCCGGCGCGACTCGTACAACCTGATTCTGGACCAGTTTCTGTCAACAGACGGAAACGCTAGCGGTCCAGATTCACCCGGCACGGAGGAGTTACGGAGGGTTGTAACCACGGGGAGGGCGCAGAGAGAGGAAAGAGGTGGAGCGGATGTATTGGTGATAGAGAGCGGTGGAGATGGTGGGAACGCGGACGGGAGTGTGCACGGTGGGGGTAGGATGCATGGCGGGATTCGGCTGCATGGGAGTAATAGTTTTCACGGGCATCCGAGTAGTGGCGGTGCTGCTGGTGGGGGTTTCGATGGCGCTAGCAGCACAACAGCACCCACCGCCCCTGCTGCTGCCCCTGCTGCTGCCCCTGCTGCTGCCCCTGCTGCTGCTGCTGCTGCTGGTTCTGGTGCTCCGTCAGCTATAAGCCACTCCCCTCATCCCATGCACCATCCAGCCTACAGGCAATTCCCCCGTTCCTCCAGCGATAGCGGGAGAAAATCCTCCCCCAGTCGTCGGAGCCCTAGCAGCAGTCCCAGTCGCGGCGTGGGGGGCATAGGCGGAAGCAACCTTGCGCCTCCCCCGCTCGTCTTCTCCCACCATCACGAAGGGGGGGCGGGGCTGGGCATGGGCGCGCATAGCGCCGCCAGCAGCTGGACTGGCGGAGGGATGGGCGGAGGCGTTGTGGGGGGGTTCGGGGGAGCAACCGCAACAGGGGGAGCAGGGGCAGGAAACGGTGTTCCGGTAGGGTTTGAGAAGCCAAGAGGGGTGTCACCAACGAGAGGAGCCGGGTCTATGCCTGTAGCGTCGTCGTCTGGTACTCCCTTGCGCAATTCCTCCCCCTCCCGTCGGAGCCTCTCTACAGGTGGCGCGTCGGGAGTGGCTAGCTGGAAGGGCAGCAGCAGCGGCGGCAGCATGGGAAACAGCAACAGCGGTGGTGGCAGCAGCGGTGGCAGCAGTGGTATCATCAGCAGCAGCAGTGGCAGCAGTGGCAGTGGGGGTTCGGGTCTTGGACGAGGCACCAGCACAGGTGGCAGCCACAGTGCCAGTTTCCCTATAAGGCAGTCCTCCGGCAGCCCTCCGCTATCGTCACAATCACAACAGTCACAATCACAGCAGCAGCCGCAGCAGCAGCAGCTGATGCGGCAGCCACCCTTGCAGCCGCTGCCACAGCCGCAGTTTCCGCGGTTGGCAGGGGCAGGCGCAGCGGGGGGGAGTATGGCGGGGGGAGGGGGCACAGGGACATCACACAGGAGAGGGAAGAGCGAATACGCCCTAAGTTCAGGGAAGAGACTCTCACGGCAGAGTTCAGGGTCTGTGGGAGAGGGCGCTGATTACAGCAGTAGTTTTGAGAGTTATTCCACTGCTGCTGGCGCTGACGTGGCACGAGATGGAACGGATGGCGACTCGGACCACGGGCAGGTGAACGGGCAGCGGAAAATTCAGGGGCAGGCGCAGGGAGGGAGTGGGAACGGGAGGCAGAAGCACAGGCGAGCGGTGAGCGATAATGAATGTGCTCAACCAGGGGGGGTGGAGTCTAGGGAAGGGGAGGAGGGGGGGAGGGGGGATGTGGGGGAGGGATGGGCGGGTGGACAGGGGGAGAGGGGCAGGGGAGGGAGAAGGTGGACTGGAGAGGGTGGGGCAATGCATGGGGGTGGTTGGGAAGAGGGGGGTGAAGAGGGCGGGGCGGGTTCTGGGGAGATTTCGTTTGGGCGGCAGCACTCTGTGGCGGAGATAGGGGGGGATTGCGGAGGCATGGGGGGAAGGGAAGGGGAAGGGGCGGGGGGGAGGGGGAGGGGAAGAAGATGGGGGAGGAGAAGAGGAGGAGAGTGATTCAGGGAGTGTGGTGGAGTGGGCTGTAGCAGGCTCGCCTCAGAGCATCTCGGCTGTAGCAGGGGCAGCGGAGGGGAGAAGAGGAGGCGGAGGAGAAGGCAGGGAGGCGGAAGGAAGCTTCTTGCGTAGAGGCAGCGGCGGTAGAGCAGTAACAGCAACGGCAGAAGCAGCAAGAGGGGGAGCAGGGGGAGAAGCAAGGAGGGAAGCAGTGGGAGGAGCAGGGGCAGGAGCAGGGGGGGGAGCTGAAAGGGGCATGGGTAGAGTTGCAGGGGGAGAAACAGGTGGGGGCGGTTTAGCTGCAGGAGAGGGGGAGGGCGCATCTGGAGCAGGCGCATCTCACCTCGGTTGGGGCGGCTTTCCGCGTCTCAACCTGGAAATTGCGAGCCTGCAGTCCTTCTCAGATGAGGAAAACCCCAGTAATCGCAGCATGGGCTCGCACCAGGGCATGGGCAGTGGGCAGGGCATGGGTAGCGAGCATGGCATGGGTAGCGAGCAGAGCAGCTTACTGAACAGCAGCTTGGGGAAAGGAGAGGGAGGAGGGGTTGGAGAGGGTGCAAGGCGGTGGGTAAGGGGTGCGAGAGACGGGGGAGCAGAGGTGGGAAGGGGAAGGGGGAGGAAGAGGCGGGGGAAGGGGAAGAAGGGAGTTAGATTCTACTCTGAATTGAGGTCTCCGTTGGGTAGGCGAGGGTCAGTGAGTGGGAGAGTGGAGACACCGCGAGGGATGGTGGGAAGAGGCGGGAGGGAGAGGAGAAGCAAAGGAGCGTATAGGTGCAGGCATTGCCGGGAGGCGGAGGAGGAAGAGGAGGGGGATGAGGATGGGGAGGGGGAGGAGGAGGAGGATGAGGAGGGATGTGAGGAGGGGTGTGTGTATGAGGAAGGGGGTAGGGGCAGCAGGGAAGAGGGGCGGAGGAAGAAAGAGGAGAGGGGGGTGTTCAATGGGAGGGTTTTCAATGTGTTGCGGCGGCCCATGAGGGCAGTGGGCAAGCAGTACGCGTTGACTGCAGATGACTGGCTTGACTACGACCCCCCTGGAGACGCACTGCTGAGAAGATGCATGCACCGAGCGACTGGAAGTCGGTTGATGTGCCGCACCATCTCCAAGCAGAGCATTCGGGTGAGAAGTGGGTAACCAGGTGGGCAAGCAGTACGCGTTGACTGCAGATGACTGGCTTGACTACGTCGGGTCGGCCACTTTTGAGGCGCCGCAAGAGCTGCAAATTGAGAGGAAAGAGAGCGGCGAGAGGAGCTCAAGAACAAATCGATTGACCGCTTCCTTCACCTCTCTTTCTCCTCTCAACACTAGCTTGTTCCCTTCTCTCCGTCCAGTCACAGCAGCAGGCGGAGGCTATCGGGGTGGAAGTGGCAGTGCTGGAGGTGCTGCAGCCGAGGGAACTTCAAACGCCCACCTTTGATGGACCCCCTTTGATGGAGCCCCTTTGATGGAGCACCTTTGATGGAGCCCCTTTGATGGAGCCCCTTCGATGGAGCACCTTTGATGGAGCCCCTTTGATGGAGCACCTTCGATGGAGCACCTTTGATGCAGGTTCTGCACTCTTTCTCACTCTTTTGAGGCGCCTCAAAAGCCGAGGGAACTTCAAACGCCCACCTTTGATGGAGGTGCTGCACTCTTTCTTACTCCTCTAGTATATCTCTCTCCCCCCCCCCCCCGCCCCCCTCCCCCTCACCCTCACCAGTCACAGCAGCAGGCGGAGGCCATTGGGGTGGAGGTTGCAGTGATGGAGGTGCTGCAGCCGAGGGGACCTGCAATGCCCACCTTTGACTCTTTCTCACCCCTCTCACTCCCCCCCACCCCTTTCCTCCTTTTCTTCCAGTCACAGCAGCAGGCGGAGGTCATTGGGGTGGTGGTGGCAGTGATGGAGGTGCTGCAATCTCTCACTCTCTCTCTTCCTCTCACTCTCTCTCTCCCTCTCACGCCCTTCCCCCTCTTCCTTCCCCCAGTCACAGCAGCAGGCGGAGGCCATCGGGGTTGAGGTTTCAGTGATGGAGGTGCTGCAGCCGAGGGGACTCACAAGCCATCCTCCTTCCCTCCCTCTCTCACTCTTTCTTTCGCCTTCTCACACCCTCCCCTCTCCCCCTCACCAGTCACAGCAGCAGGCGGAGGCCATCGGGGTGGAGGTGGCAGTGTTAGAGGTGCTGCAGCCGCATGCACACATCATTGGGCTCAGAGACAAGTTCGAAAGCCTCACGGTGAGCCCCGTGTATGAAGATTTGTTTTGAGACGTCTCAAAACAAGTTTGAAAGCCTCACGGTGAGACCTACACGTTGATGCGGTGAGCCCCACGTGTTGTGTCCCATAGAGGCCCCTCTTGGCCCTCATATGGTCGGCATCTCATAACTGGAGGTGCAGCAGCCACATGCTCACATCATTGGGCTCAGGGACTTTAAGAGCCTTACGGTGAGCCTTGTTCCCCCCTGTATGCTCAGTCGACTCAAAATACGGCTTTGTTCCCCCCTGTATGCTCAGTCGACTCAAAATACGGCTTTGTTCCCCCCTGTATGCTCAGTCGACTCAAAATACGGCTTTGTTCCCCCCTGTATGCTCAGTCGACTCAAAATACGGCTTTGTTCCCCCCTGTATGCTCAGTCGACTCAAAATACGGCTTTGTTCCCCCCTGTATGCTCAGTCGACTCAAAATACGGCTTTGTTCCCCCCTGTATGCTCAGTCGACTCAAAATACGGCTTTGTTCCCCCCTGTATGCTCAGTCGACTCAAAATACGGCTTTGTTCCCCCCTGTATGCTCAGTCGACTCAAAATACGGCTTTGTTCCCCCCTGTATGCTCAGTCGACTCAAAATACGGCTTTGTTCCCCCCTGTATGCTCAGTCGACTCAAAATACGGCCTTGTTCCCCCCTGTATGCTCAGTCGACTCAAAATACGGCCTTGTTCCCCCCTGTATGCTCAGTCGACTCAAAATACGGCCTTGTTCCCCCCTGTATGCTCAGCGTCTCACAGCTGGAGGTGCCTTGCTGCCCCAATGTGATGTGTCTTCCTCCCCCCGGCCTCTCCTATTTTGAGTCGACTCAAAATACGGCCTTGTTCCCCCCTGTATGCTCAGCGTCTCACAGCTGGAGGTGCCTTGCTGCCCCAATGTGATGTGTCTTCCTCCCCCCGGCCTCTCCTATTTTGAGTCGACTCAAAATACGGCCTTGTTCCCCCCTGTATGCTCAGCGTCTCACAGCTGGAGGTGCCTTGCTGCCCCAATGTGATGTGTCTTCCTCCCCCCGGCCTCTCCTATTTTGAGTCGACTCAAAATACTGCCTTGTTCCCCCCTGTATGCTCAGCGTCTCACAGATGGAGGTGCCTTGTTGCCCCACTGTGAAATGCCTTCCTCCCCCCAGCCTCTCCTTTCCTCCCAGTCCGTGCATCTCATTCCAATCGGCAATTCCCATGGCATGCCTCTCACGGCACGACCGCACATGCCACCACAGCCCCACTGAAAAATTCCCTACAGGCGTTCATCTCCCTCATGTTTCCCCTTCTTCCCCTTCTCTCCCCCTCTTGTCCCCCCTTTTCTCCCCCATCCCCCCCCCCAGTCCGTGCATCTGATTCTAGACCCCATATCGCGCCTCTCTCTGCACGACCGCATGCGTCAGCACGGCCCCATCCCTCAGCACCACGCTGCACCGCTCTGCCTCGCGCTGCTGCACGCGCTGCACCACTGCCGTTCGCAGGGCGTGGCCCACCGCAACCTCACGCCCCATGCTGTCGTCTTCCCTGCTGACGACAGCCCGCTGGGGGATGCCCGGCTGAGCGGCTTCGAGTGTGCAGCGTTTGTTACCCCAGGTACATTCTGTTTTTTCCATGTGTGTAGCAGCGCAGAGGGTGGCCCCACAGGAATCTCACGCCCCACGCAGTCGTGTTCCCCACTGGCGACAGCCCGCTGGGGAATGCCAGGCTGAGTGGGTTCGAGTGCGCTGCGTTCGTAACCCCAGGTGAGTTGAGGCTTTAGCCGCATTAGTCTGTCTGTAGCAGCAGCAGTCCTGCCGGCCTTGTTTGCAGCACCGGATGTGCACATGGCAATGTACGGCGGACTTGCAGACCTCTGGTCTCTGGGGGCCTGCTCTTGACCCCCCTCTTCTCCTCTGCTGGTTGCCCTACAACCATCCCTTGCACAGCACACTGCTCTCCCCGTCCCTTCCCCCTCACTCTTCCCCTCCCACTTCCCCAACCCCTGCTGCTCCCCCTCCCTCTCCCTTCGGTTCCCAGGAGTGCCCTTCTCAGACCCAGTGACGTCCCCCTTGTTCGCAGCACCGGAGGTGCACGTGGGAATGTACGGCACACAGGCCGACCTCTGGTCTCTCGGGGTCCTCCTCTTCCTCCTCCTCTGCGGAGTCCCTCCCTTCTGGGCGGCCACGGCCGGCGGCATTCGGTGCGCAGTGCAGCAGCAGCAGGTGGCGTTCCTGTCCCCCAGGTGGAAGGACGTTTCTGATGAAATGAAGCAGCTGCTGCTGATGCTGCTCGAGAAGAACCCGTCAGAAAGACTCACAGCTGCTGATGCTCTAGGTGAGTGTGTCCCCATCAGAGGTGGTTTCTCTGTTCGCCTAGGTTTTTTTCTCCTTCTGGGCGCCAACTAAAGGGGGGGGGGGGGTCGGCGCGCAGTGCAGCAGCAGCAGGTGGTGGCATATACGCTTTAGGCCTTTAGCGTATAGCGTTTATACGCTAGCGTTTACACGCTATACGCTATACGCTATCAAATACGCTATACGCTCGGGAGTATTTTTCTGGGCAGCCCGGACGAAAAAAATCGGGAATATGTAAAAAGTTGTCGTTTTCCTCGGCGATTATTTCGCGGTGGTCGAAATGCTCGTCGGAGATCTAGGTTAGCGGGAATGTGGCTCAATGTTTGGATTCGCGATGGTTTTGCAATTTCGAATTTCAGGGGTCCACCGCTTTGAACCGAAGACAATCTACGAACTCCAACCTTTCCTCTACGTTCCCTCCAACCAACACATGGTTTCTCATCAGATCTACTTGGTCGTTCTCACCTAGTCACTCACTCCTAGTCCACTACGCGATAATGTTTACTGCAGTTCCCAACCCGCCACCCGATCCCACGCAGGATTACGATAGTGCACGTCCTCTTTGTGAAGTACCTATTTGATGTTGAGCACGAGGTCTTTAAGCATTTCGCGTCATAGGGAAAAAATGAACCTTGAAACACTACCTCCGTGAATCCCCCCTGTAAACTATACATAGGGTGTTTTTTTTTCACCCTGCCCGGTTTTTTTATTCTGCCCGAAATAGCGTATTCCTGGATTCGGGACCTTAGCGTATAGCGTATAAACGCATGCGTATATACGACACGCGTATATACGCTACACGCGTATATGCCAACTGTGGCGTTCCTGCCTCCCCAGTGGAAGGACGTTTCGGATGAAATGAAGCAGCTGCTGCTGATGCTGCTCGAGAAGAACCCCTCAGACCAGCTAACCGCTGCTGAGGCTCTAGGTGAGTGTGTTTGAGAGCAGTGCAGCAGCAGCAGGTGGCGTTCCTGTCTCCCCAGTGGAAGGACGTTTCGGATGAGATGAAGCAGCTGCTGCTGCTTCTCGGGAACAATTCCGCACATTGACTCACAGCCGCTTCCCAGGCTCTAGGTTTGTGCGCCTTGAGGAAGCGGTTTCTTTGTGCTCTCAAGATGACACTGCTGCTGCTGCTGCTGCTGCTCGGGAAAACGTGCTAAAAATTACTCGTGGCCTCTGAGGCTCTAGGTGCGTGTCTCTGAGGTGCATTCTCTGTGCCCTCTAGGTTCCTCTGGTCACCCAGCATGAAGTGCAGCATCAGTGAGTGGCTGAGAGTGTCTGAGGTGTTTTTTGAGGCGCCTCAAAAAGGGTTGTGTGCGTCTAGGCTCTAGGTGAGTGTGTCTGAGTGGCTCGGATCGGACCCTAAGCCTCCAGCTAAGTGGTGTAGCAACTGAGGTTTCACTTCACAAATACCGTACAGTTTCTGTGGTTCATATCGCCTGTAGCTTTTACTTCTTCTGTATGCTTGTTTGTTTTCTTTTTGCTTATTTCTTTCCGATAAAATGGCCACTTGTCTTTGTGTGGCTGTTTTGCAGAGCATCCGTTGTTCACAAGGGTGGCGGCATCAGAGGAGGGTACTACGCCATGAGTCATTATGAGACAGGCTCGTGGCTTGTGGCTCGTCTCATCGTCACTTGCCATGTGTTTGAAGTAGTGTTTTGAGACGTCTCAAAACACTACTTCAAGCTCGTGGCTTCATTATGAGACAGGCTCGTGGCTTGTGGCTCGTCTCATCGTCACTCACTGGCCATGAGCTAAGGTATAACGGCTCGTTTCATTGTAACTCGCCTGCTCTTGATCCATGCAACTTCGATTCGACGCACCACCTGGAGTGTTCTACTGAGTACTGAGTGTACTGATGCAACTAACATAACATGAAGCCGGACATCTAACACCAAGCTGGTGTATGGACCTGTGCATGATTGCAACATATTGATGTGAATGCATCCAATGAAAGGAGACTTGGATCAGGCCGTACCATATGTGTGAGTGAGCACAGGTGAAAGGTCTTTGACTTGGAAGACACCTCTTATTACACACTTGATTACAGCAACGTTTCATAATGCCACATGGATGACAAAATCCAGCTTAGTTTCTGGCCTATCCACTTTTCATGTTCAGTATCCTCCTCATCGTCAGGTGAGGCGTTCGCACGTGCATTGCTGACCCTGCTAGCCCTGCTGGCACGACTGGCACGGCTGGCACTGTTGCTGTTGCTGTGAACGCTGAACTTGCTGTGAATGAAGCTGATTCCGTGAATGCCAGACCCACCACCACCACCATTGCCACACCCGCAGCAGCAATAGGAGCAGCAGCCATTGCCGTTGCCGTTGCCGTTCCCATTGACAGTGACGTCGTTGTTATCACCACTGTTGCCATTGACGTTACCACAACCATTCCCGTTGTCGTTGTCACAGCAGCAGCAGCAGCAGCAGCAGTAGCAGCAGCCATTGCGATTGCCATTGCCATTGCCATTTCCATTGCCGTTGCCATTTCCGTTGCCATTGCAATTTCTGTTGCCGTTGATGCTGTTGTTGCCGTTACCGTTGACATTGCTGTTACCACAACTGTTGTCGTTGCCGTTGCCACAGCAGCAGCAGCAGCAGCAGCAGCAGCAGCAGCCGCAGCCATTGCCATTGCCATTTCCGCTGCCATTTCCGTTGTCGTTGATGCTGTTGTTATCGTTACCGTTGTCATTGCCGTTACCACAACCGTTGTCGTTGCCGTTGCCACAGCAGCAGCAGCAGTCATTGCCATTGCCCTTGCCATTTCCGTTGCCGTTGCCATTTCCATTGCCATTGATGCTGTTGTTATCGTTACCATGGCCATTGCCGTTACCACAACAGTTGCCGATGCCGTTGCCACAGCAGCAGCAGCAGCCATTGCCATTGCCATTTCCGTTGCCGTTGATGCTGCTGTTATCGTTACCATTGCCATCGCCGTTACCACAACCGTTGTCGTTGCCGTTGCCACAGCAGCAGCAGCAGCCATTGCCATTGCCCTTGCCATTTCCGTTGCCGTTGCCATTTCCATTGCCACTGATGCTGTTGTTATCGTTACCATGGCCATTGCCGTTACCACAACCGCTGCCGATGCCGTTGCCGTTGCCACAGCAGCAGCAGCAGCCATTGCCATTGCCATTTCCGTTGCCGTTGATGCTGCTGTTATCATTACCATTGCCATCGCCGTTACCACAACCGTTATCGTTGCCGTTGCCACAGCAGCAGCAGCAGCGATTGCCATTGCCCTTGCCATTTCCGTTGTTGTTGGTGCTGTTGTTATCGTTACAGTTGTCATTGCTGTTGCGACAACTGTTGCCGTTGCCGTTGGCACAGCAGCAGCAGCAGCCATTGCCATTTGCCATTGCCATTGCCATTTCCGTTGCCATTTTCGTTGCCGTTGTTATCGTTACCATTGCCATCGCCGTTACCACAACCGTTGCCACAGCAACAGCAGCAGCAGCCATTGCCATTGCCATTGCCATTTCCGTTGCCATTGCCATTTCTGTTGCCGTTGATGCTGTTGTTATCGTTGCCGCTGCCACTGCCGTTGCCGTTGCCACTGCCGTTGCCGTTGCCATTGCCACAGCAGCAGCAGCAGCCATTGCCGTTGCCGTTGCCATTGCCATCGTTCCCACCACCATCGCCACTGCCCCCATCAGCACCCCCCGTGTGAAGCCACGAGGCGACAAGCGACCACATGCCACCAACTCCGCCATTCACATCCCCATTGTCAACGCCATTGCCACCGCCATTGCCACTGCCATCCCCACCATCCCCACCATCATTCCCACCAAAGCTGGTGGTGGCAGTGAGCGGAGAGGTGAGAGGGTCAACAGGAAAGGGCAGTGAAGGGGCGGAGCTGAGCAGTCTGCAATGCCTGAAAACGAGTGACGGGGTTCCTATGGCGTCGCTTGCAGCTTCAGACACTGCGGCTTCACTTGTCGTGCCAGCTGTCCCTGCCAGCTTGTCATGAGATGCCAGCCAGAGATGTGAGTGGTAGAGACGCGGAGGGGGAGAAGAAGTTTTTCAGGTGAGTTAGATGCGAGTGAGAAAAGCGTGTATACTATGATGACCAGGAAACAGATTACAGAGGCTAAGAGCACGCGAGATTAAGCGCCAGAAAGCTTAACGGATTCTAAGATTGACATTATTCCGACAGGACGCATTTGGAAGGTAAGCTGAACTGAATCCGACTCACCGGAGAAAATCAGTGCGAAAACGACCGTTGGAAACAACCAGACGAGTCGCAAACGCAGTTTGGTTGACGCAGCGGGAGCCATGGCTGTTATTTGAAACCACGAGCTCCCTCTGAAAGATGTTAAGCTTGAACGACAAGCTTAGGCAGGTTGCTCTTAGGCTCGAATGCAAGCTGAGCTGATCTGAACTGAAGAACGACGACGCATTCCGTCAATTTGTAGTACCTGAGAGACCTACTTCGGACCAGCAGGCTTTCTCTTTCAAAAGTCCCCATACCGCGGCTCCGTGACAGGAGCAGGGGTTCAGACGACAAACAGAACGGCACGGCGTCCGTCACGTCATCCTGGGAAATTCGGAGGCGAGATTTGGTTTGACGGGACGCCATGGCGGCGGACGTCCACGCATCAGAGCGTCCCGTCACGTCATCCCATTGGTGAAGCAGGAATTGATGCGGGTTTACGCAAGATGCTTCGTGTGCTACTTCCGTCACTCTCACTCTACTTGCGAGCAATCATCGTCCCATCATCCTGAAATCCGGCTCGAGAATGCTGGGCTGTGCTTTCATCGCGAAACCATCGGCGATCAAGAAACAATATTTGAAAGCATTACGTAGGAAAGTCCGTGTCTAAGGTACGACCTAGTTCAGGCTGCAGTCACATCTCAGCCTCCAAACAAAGTAGCAAGCAGGGACGAGAATGAGGAGTGGATGAGGGGAGAGAAAGTACGAAGGGTTGGGTATGAAGGATATGAGAGAGATTGACATGGATTAAGAACGATCAGGAGGGATTTGGAGACTCGTTTTTCTCGGCGTCAAATCGCTGTGTTTGGGATCTGGTCTGGGGTACTAGGAATTCTGGGCTGGTTGGGGAAATTCAGTTCCCGCGCAGCTCTGGAGCAATGTAGGGGTTAGGAGGAGAGAAACAGCCGCAGCCACAGCGCCCTCGACGCTGAAAACCTTGGCGAAATCAGGAGTGGTGTCGCAAACTCAAAAATGCGCTGGCGAAATGCTTTATGAACAGCGTGTAAAATATCCGGAAGCACTTCCTCGTGTTTTCGCACAGAAATAACCTAAAGAAACGACGTGGTGTTGTTACAGAATCTGAAGGAACCATACAGAATCTGAGTTGTCACATTGACTGTAATGCCAACCTATTTTTTGTACCAGTTCTCTGCACTAATACAGTTTTGTGCTGCACGGCCGTATGGCCTTCACTGCAAAGAAATTCCTACTGCAATAACAACATGGACTCTCGGCTAGTTGCTGCCATGCTTTATCACTCCAATTCCCCTTCAATCACGCCTGCACCACTCGTTGCTGGCGGCGCTGGGAGCGCAGGAAGAGAACGGCGAGCAGGAGAGCGAGGAGAGAGGCGATGTAGGCGTTGGTGTCGTCCCTCAGGGCCGCCTTCAATGCTCCCGCCGTGGCCGGGCCAATCTCAGGTAACACATCCAGTGCCCTGGACTGGGGGGGTTGGGGGGGGAAGGGAGGGGGGAGAGGCGATGTAGGCATTGGTGTCATCCCCAGGGCAGCCTTCAGGGCTCCCGCTGTGGCCGGGCCGATCTCAGGCAACACATCGAGTGCCTTGGACTGGGGGAGTTTGAGGGAGGGGGGCATGGGGAAGGAAAAATGGGGAGAGGGCGACAGGAAGGACAGGGACAGGGATGAAGACTCACCAGAAGACAGTAGTGGTAGTATTGCATTGCAATGCTTACAACAAGAGGGTAGTGCACCCAACATAAAGCAGACTCACCACAAGAGGGTAGTGACCATACTGCATTCGCAGCCAGAGGCCGAAGAGTTTTGAGACGTCTCTGAAGCAGACTCACCACAAGAGGATAGTGCACCCAACATAAAGCAGACTCACCACAAGAGGATAGTGCACCCAACATAAAGCAGACTCACCACAAGAGGGTAGTGCACCCAACATAAAGCAGACTCACCACAAGAGGGTAGTGACCATACTGCATTCGCAGCCAGAGGCCGAAGAGTTTTGAGACGTCTCTGAAGCAGACTCACCACAAGAGGATAGTGCACCCAACATAAAGCAGACTCACCACAAGAGGATAGTGCACCCAACATAAAGCAGACTCACCACAAGAGGGTAGTGCACCCAACATAAAGCAGACTCACCACAAGAGGGTAGTGCACCCAACATAAAGCAGACTCACCACAAGAGGGCAGTGCACCCAACATAAAGCAGACTCACCACAAGAGGGTAGTGCACCCAACATAAAGCAGACTCACCACAAGAGGGTAGTGCACCCAACATAAAGTAGACTCACCACAAGAGGGTAGTGCACCCAACATAAAGCAGACTCACCACAAGAGGATAGTGCACCCAACATAAAGCAGACTCACCACAAGAGGGTAGTGCACCCAACATAAAGCAGACTCACCACAAGAGGGTAGTGCACCCAACATAAAGCAGACTCACCACAAGAGGGTAGTGCACCCAACATAAAGCAGACTCACCACAAGAGGGTAGTGCACCCAACATAAAGCAGACTCACCACAAGAGGGTAGTGCACCCAACATAAAGCAGACTCACCACAAGAGGGTAGTGCACCCAACATAAAGCAGACTCACCACAAGAGGGTAGTGCACCCAACATAAAGCAGACTCACCACAAGAGGGTAGTGCACCCAACATAAAGCAGACTCACCACAAGAGGGTAGTGCACCCAACATAAAGCAGACTCACCACAAGAGGGTAGTGCACCCAACATAAAGCAGACTCACCACAAGAGGGTAGTGCACCCAACATAAAGCAGACTCACCACAAGAGGGTAGTGCACCCAACATAAAGCAGACTCACCACAAGAGGGTAGTGCACCCAACATAAAGCAGACTCACCACAAGAGGGTAGTGCACCCAACATAAAGCAGACTCACCACAAGAGGGTAGTGCACCCAACATAAAGCAGACTCACCACAAGAGGGTAGTGCACCCAACATAAAGCAGACTCACCACAAGAGGGTAGTGCACCCAACATAAAGCAGACTCACCACAAGAGGGTAGTGCACCCAACATAAAGCAGACTCACCATAAGAGGGTAGTGCACCCAACATAAAGCAGACTCACCACAAGAGGGTAGTGCACCCAACATAAAGCAGACTCACCACAAGAGGGTAGTGACCATACTGCATTCGCAGCCAGAGGCCGAAGAGTTTTGAGACGTCTCTGAAACAGACTCACCACAAGAGGGTAGTGCACCCAACATAAAGCAGACTCACCACAAGAGGGTAGTGCACCCAACATAAAGCAGACTCACCACAAGAGGGTAGTGCACCCAACATAAAGCAGACTCACCACAAGAGGGTAGTGCACCCAACATAAAGCAGACTCACCACAAGAGGGTAGTGCACCCAACATAAAGCAGACTCACCACAAGAGGGTAGTGCACCCAACATAAAGCAGACTCACCACAAGAGGGTAGTGCACCCAACATAAAGCAGACTCACCACAAGAGGGTAGTGCACCCAACATAAAGCAGACTCACCACAAGAGGGTAGTGCACCCAACATAAAGCAGACTCACCACAAGAGGGTAGTGCACCCAACATAAAGCAGACTCACCACAAGAGGGTAGTGCACCCAACATAAAGCAGACTCACCACAAGAGGGTAGTGCACCCAACATAAAGCAGACTCACCACAAGAGGGTAGTGCACCCAACATAAAGCAGACTCACCACAAGAGGGTAGTGCACCCAACATAAAGCAGACTCACCACAAGAGGGTAGTGCACCCAACATAAAGCAGACTCACCACAAGAGGGTAGTGCACCCAACATAAAGCAGACTCACCATAAGAGGGTAGTGCACCCAACATAAAGCAGACTCACCACAAGAGGGTAGTGCACCCAACATAAAGCAGACTCACCACAAGAGGGTAGTGACCATACTGCATTCGCAGCCAGAGGCCGAAGAGTTTTGAGACGTCTCTGAAACAGACTCACCACAAGAGGGTAGTGCACCCAACATAAAGCAGACTCACCACAAGAGGGTAGTGCACCCAACATAAAGCAGACTCACCACAAGAGGGTAGTGCACCCAACATAAAGCAGACTCACCACAAGAGGGTAGTGCACCCAACATAAAGCAGACTCACCACAAGAGGGTAGTGCACCCAACATAAAGCAGACTCACCACAAGAGGGTAGTGCACCCAACATAAAGCAGACTCACCACAAGAGGGTAGTGCACCCAACATAAAGCAGACTCACCACAAGAGGGTAGTGCACCCAACATAAAGCAGACTCACCACAAGAGGGTAGTGACCATACTGCATTCGCAGCCAGAGGCCGAAGAGTTTTGAGACGTCTCTGAAGCAGACTCACCACAAGAGGGTAGTGCACCCAACATAAAGCAGACTCACCACAAGAGGGTAGTGCACCCAACATAAAGCAGACTCACCACAAGAGGTTAGTGCACCCAACATAAAGCAGACTCACCACAAGAGGGTAGTGCACCCAACATAAAGCAGACTCACCACAAGAGGGTAGTGCACCCAACATAAAGTAGACTCACCACAAGAGGGTAGTGCACCCAACATAAAGCAGACTCACCACAAGAGGATAGTGCACCCAACATAAAGCAGACTCACCACAAGAGGGTAGTGCACCCAACATAAAGCAGACTCACCACAAGAGGGTAGTGCACCCAACATAAAGCAGACTCACCACAAGAGGGTAGTGCACCCAACATAAAGCAGACTCACCACAAGAGGGTAGTGCACCCAACATAAAGCAGACTCACCACAAGAGGGTAGTGCACCCAACATAAAGCAGACTCACCACAAGAGGGTAGTGCACCCAACATAAAGCAGACTCACCACAAGAGGGTAGTGCACCCAACATAAAGCAGACTCACCACAAGAGGGTAGTGCACCCAACATAAAGCAGACTCACCACAAGAGGGTAGTGCACCCAACATAAAGCAGACTCACCACAAGAGGGTAGTGCACCCAACATAAAGCAGACTCACCACAAGAGGGTAGTGCACCCAACATAAAGCAGACTCACCACAAGAGGGTAGTGCACCCAACATAAAGCAGACTCACCACAAGAGGGTAGTGCACCCAACATAAAGCAGACTCACCACAAGAGGGTAGTGCACCCAACATAAAGCAGACTCACCACAAGAGGGTAGTGCACCCAACATAAAGCAGACTCACCACAAGAGGGTAGTGCACCCAACATAAAGCAGACTCACCACAAGAGGGTAGTGCACCCAACATAAAGCAGACTCACCACAAGAGGGTAGTGCACCCAACATAAAGCAGACTCACCATAAGAGGGTAGTGCACCCAACATAAAGCAGACTCACCACAAGAGGGTAGTGCACCCAACATAAAGCAGACTCACCACAAGAGGGTAGTGACCATACTGCATTCGCAGCCAGAGGCCGAAGAGTTTTGAGACGTCTCTGAAACAGACTCACCACAAGAGGGTAGTGCACCCAACATAAAGCAGACTCACCACAAGAGGGTAGTGCACCCAACATAAAGCAGACTCACCACAAGAGGGTAGTGCACCCAACATAAAGCAGACTCACCACAAGAGGGTAGTGCACCCAACATAAAGCAGACTCACCACAAGAGGGTAGTGCACCCAACATAAAGCAGACTCACCACAAGAGGGTAGTGCACCCAACATAAAGCAGACTCACCACAAGAGGGTAGTGCACCCAACATAAAGCAGACTCACCACAAGAGGGTAGTGACCATACTGCATTCGCAGCCAGAGGCCGAAGAGTTTTGAGACGTCTCTGAAGCAGACTCACCACAAGAGGGTAGTGCACCCAACATAAAGCAGACTCACCACAAGAGGGTAGTGCACCCAACATAAAGCAGACTCACCACAAGAGGTTAGTGCACCCAACATAAAGCAGACTCACCACAAGAGGGTAGTGCACCCAACATAAAGCAGACTCACCACAAGAGGGTAGTGCACCCAACATAAAGCAGACTCACCACAAGAGGGTAGTGCCCATACTGCATGCGCAGCCAGAGGCCGAAGAGGGCGATTCTCACTGGCACCACTGCCCGGGGAAAGGCGTCCAGGACCTGCGGATGTGGGCAGAGATAGCGAAAGAAAGGGAGGGGCGCGAGAGGGGGAGGAGATATCCAAGATGGGTACGATGCAAACCGAGGGGAAAGCTTTAGGGAAAAAGGAAAAGAAAAGAGAAGAGAAGAGAAGAGAAGAGAAGAGAAGAGAAGAGAAGAGAAGAGAAGAGAAGAGAAGAGAAGAGAAGAGAAGAAAAGAAAAGACTTATTGGTTTGACGAAAAGGCTTAAGGGGAAAGCACACACATCCCAGCATTCCAGAAGGCTCGCTCTCCACCACACCTGGCCATGGAACCACTCAATGTGACTTTTGAGGTGACTTTTGAGGTGACTTTTGAGTCGACTCAAAAGTCACATCCCAGCATTCCAGAAGGCTCGCTCTCCACCATACCTGGCCATGGAACCACTCAACAAGCTGCACTGGCCCCTGCCCGTGCCATGACCCACTTAACCATGCTCATGCATGAAGCCCAGGTTGAACATGGCGTGTGCACTGCCCTTTGTGCTCCTAGCCATACCTGGTCATAGAAGCGTTTAGCCAAGTGTAAGTCTCTGGGCAGCCCCATGCCATGCTCGTGCATGAAGCCCAGGTTGAACATGGCGTGTGCACTGCCACCCATCCATACCTACCTGTACCTGCCCATACCTGGTCATAGAAGCGTTTGGCTAGATGTAAGTCTCTGGGCAGCCCCATGCCATGCTCGTGCATGAAGCCCAGGTTGAACATGGCGTGTGCACTGCCCTTCTCCCGCGCCCTCCAGTACGCCTCTGCTGCTCGCTGCAGGTCCCGCGGCTGGCCCTGTGGCATGGGTGGAAGTGATGGTCAAAATCTGACACATGGCCACAACAGGGTGTGTGCTACTCGTCCTTATCCCCCTCTCCCTCTCCCTCTCCCTCTCCCTCTCCCTCTCCCTCTCCCTCTCCCTCTCCCTCTCCCTCTCCCTCGCCAGGGCAGGCAAGGGCAGGGCAGGGAAGGGTGAACGGCAGCAGCAAGAGGGACTTATCCAGCCATAAAATAAAGCATCCCCCAGCAGCAGTGCTGCCTGCACGCTGCCGTGCGCTGCTGCCAGCTGCCACAGCCCCCTCTATGCTTGTACTCCAAGTGTGAGCAAGCATGCAAGCATATCAATAGGGGGGACGGACACACCCAGCCATAGAAGAAAACATCTCCCAGCAGCAATGCTGCCTGTACGCTGCCCTGCTGCGCTGCTGCCCTGCCAGCTGAAGCAGCTCTGTTCCTTGGTGCAACAACTGTGAGTGAACAGTCCCTCTTCTCAAATCAGCTCACCAGACTCACTCATCAGGCCATGAAAGAAAGCATCGCCCAGCAGGAGCGCCGCCTGCACGCTGCTGTGCGCTGCTGCCAGCTGCCACAGCCCCCTCTATGCTTGAGTTTTGAGGCGCCTCAAAACTAGACTTCTCTCCCTCTATGTTCAGACATCCCAGCGAGCAGCAGTTTCTAAGGAGAAGGTTTAGCAAAGGAGAAAACAGTTGTAGTAAAATCCTAGCTGATTCGCGTAGGGAGCAAAACTAGACTTCTCTCCCTCTATGTTCAGACATCCCCCCGAGCTAAAAGACTTTATGCTCGAGCAAAAAGTGTGAACAAGCGAGCGAGCAAGCAAGCAAGCAAGCAAGCAAGCAAGCATATCAGTAGGAGCGACTGACCCGGCCATAGAAGAAAGCATCGCCCAGCAGGAGTGCCGCCTGCACGCTGCCCTGCTCAGCTGCCAACTGCCACAGCCGGTGCGACCTCTCATGCCTCTCCGCCTCACTGCACCGCCTCCAACCCCTCCTGCTTGCACCTCCCCCACCACTGCTAGCACCACTGCGACCAGCGACACTATCCTTCCTCCTGCTGCTCCTGCTGCTCCTGCTGTTCCTGCTGTTCCTTCTGCTCCTGCTGCTCCTGCTGCTCCTCAGCTCTGCCCCCCTCCCCTTGCACTAGACCACCACCTTCAGATTCATCCGCTCGAGATGCTTCCATGCTTGCAGAACCGGCCTCTGAACCTCTTGACCCCTCACCACCTGCTGCGTTATTCTCATCTGTTGCAGCCCCATCTGTAGCTCCCGTGTCCCTCTTAACTGCTTCAGGTGAGGCAGAAGAGGCTGCAGCGCCGGTGGCAGTGATGGTGCTGCGAGCGGAACCCACACACGCATTGTCCAGCACCGAGTCACCCACAACCTGCATGCAGTGACCCGTGGTGTAAAGGGGTTAGAAGTGGTGCAATGGGGCGGTCAGCAAGGGGTTTTGAAGACGCCACACACGCATTGTCCAGCACTGAGTCACCCACAACCTGCATCAATGGTGGAATACATGGGGAGAGTTGGAAACCATTTTGGTGGTAAGGGAAAATGAAGGTCATAGTCGCTTGTGGTCGAGCAATTTGCTTCCACAATAGACTAAGAGTTGGAAAGGGAATCATTTTGGTGGTAAGGGAAAATGAAGGTCAATGAGGAGATTAAGTGGTGGTGGGCGTGATGGTCAATCAAGGGAAAGCACCGAGTCACCCACAACCTGCATTGATGGTGGAAAACATGGAAAGCGTTGAAAATCATATGGTGGTAAGGGAAAATGAAGGTCAATGAGGAGATTAAGTGGTGGTGGGCGTGATGGTCAATGAGGGGAAAGCACCGAGTCACCCACAACCTGCATTGATGGTGGAAAACATGGAAAGCGTTGAAAATCATATGGTGGTAAGGGAAAATGAAGGTCAATGAGGAGATTAAGTGGTGGTGCGCGTGGTGGTCAATGCAGAGCACCCACACACGCATTGTCCAGCACTGAGTCACCCACAACCTGCATGCAGTGACCCGTGGTGTAAAGGGGTTAGAAGTGGTGCAATAAAGCGGTCAGCAAGGGGTTTTGAAGACGCCACACACGCATTGTCCAGCACTGAGTCACCCACAACCTGCATCCTCGCAGGGTGCAAAAGGAGGTTCGGAATGGTGCAAAAGGAGGTTTGGAATGGTGCAAAAGGAGGTTCGGAATGGTGCAAAAGGAGGTTCGGAATGGAGCAAAAGGAGGTTCGGAATGGTGCAAAAGGAGGTTCGGAATGGTGCAAAAGGAGGTTCGGAATGGTGCAAAAGGAGGTTCGGAATGGTGCAAAAGGAGGTTCGGAATGGTGCAAAAGGAGGTTCGGAATGGTGCAAAAGGAGGTTCGGAATGGTGCAAAAGGAGGTTCGGAATGGTGCAAAAGGAGGTTCGGAATGGTGCAAAGGAGGTTCGGAATGGTGCAAAAGGAGGTTCGGAATGGTGCAAAAGGAGGTTCGGAATGGTGCAAAAGGAGGTTCGGAATGGTGCAAAAAGAGGTTCGGAATGGTGCAAAAGGAGGTTCGGAATGGTGCAAAAGGAGGTTTGGAATGGTGCAAAAGGAGGTTCGGAATGGTGCAAAAGGAGGTTCGGAATGGTGCAAAAGGAGGTTCGGAATGGTGCAAAAGGAGGTTCGGAATGGTGCAAAAGGAGGTTCGGAATGGTGCAAAAGAGGGTGGGTTTGGGAATGCAGGTAGGGGGGGGGTTGGGATGGTGTTGAGGCGCCATAAAAAATCGCTCAATGCATGCACCCCTGGTGTGGTGTACTGGAGTGAGGCTGGGTTGGTGCAAAGCGGTAGTCCATGCAGACTTTTGAAACGTCTCGAAACGTATTGTCACATGTGACCACGTCACATCACATAATCTTTGTATTGTGAGGTGACTTTTGAGTCGACTCAAAAGTCACCTTGAAACGTCTCAAAACGTTTTGTCACATGTGACCACGTCACAGCAAGTAATCTTTGTACTGAGTGTATTTACCAGCTCAGAACTCGCAGCACCAGGGGAGCGGCCACGTCACATCACAAGAAGCGCAACGGGAAACACGCTGAGAAAACTGAGTAATGAGGCTGGCTGGGGTGAGAAGAAAGCACCCACCCACCCACCCACCCACCCACCCACCTTATCCAGCAACCATGCCGCGTTCCCCTGTGCCACTTCATACCCCAGCTCTGCAGCTCTCGAGTAGAGCATCAGTGACGTGCCCACGTCACAAGAGGCAGGCCAGGAGGAAGAGGAGGAGGACGAGGAGGAGGAGGAGCGGAGGGAGGAGGGGGGGAGCGGGGAGGAGAGGGAGAAGGAGAAGGAGAGGGAGAAGGGAGAAGAGGAGGCGGAGCGGGAGAGGGACCAGAGGGAGGGTCCGTGTGTGGATGACATGAAGCATGCGTGCGCCCACCGCAGCATTACTCCCCATAAACCCCGCTCTGCCACTGCTTTGAGGAGGCGTGCTGCCTGGAAGGGGAGAGAGCAGAGAAGAAGGGAGGAAAACAGAAGACAGAAGACAGAAGACAGAAAAAGACATGTGAGGCGAGGCCAGTGGAGTGGAAGGAGAGGGATGTTAGCAGAGGAACTCTTAGTAGGCTTGCTGCGGATCGAAACCAACTGATTCCAACCAAGAGGGACCAGAGGGAGGGTCCGTGTGTGGTGTGTGTGGATGACATGAAGCATGCGTGTGCCCACCGCAGTAGCACGACACCCCATGGCACCCGCTCCGCCACTGCCTTGAGGAGGCGTGCTGCCTGGAAGGGAGAGAAGGGAGAGAAGGGAGAGAAGGGAGAACAGGGGAGAGAAGGGAGAGAAGGGAGAACAGGGGAGAGCTCAGGAGAGAACAAAAGACAGAAGAAAACGTGTCTTTCTATATGAGCACACCCTTTATAAACACACCTTAAGTAAATACGCGTTTCCTGTCTCACCATAACCACGTTCTTGGGAACGCCAGTGCCAGTCAAATGCATCCTGCCCATCTGATACATGGCGCCCACGTGCTGCCCTGCCCCTCCACTGCCTGTTGCAGGAACTGCAGCGCCTTGCTGAAACTAAAGATACAGCATGCCTCCCTTTACAAGCACACCATGCATAAGCACGCTCGCTCTTAGTGATGATTCGTTCTCCCATCTCACCATGACCACATTCTTGGGTACCCCGGTGTCAGTCAAATGCATCTTGTGTAGCGAGGGTGTTTTTGAGACAACTCAAAAACACCCTCGCTACACGTCGCTCGCTCTTAGTGATGATTCGTTCTCCCATCTCACCATGACCACATTCTTGGGTCATTCGTTCACCGGGGTACCCCGGTGCCAGTCAAATGCATCTTGCCCATCTGGTACATGGCCCCCACGTGCTGCCCCCCACTCCCCTCCTCGCCTCTTCTGATATGCCTAACCCCACTCTATTATCTCACCATGACCACATTCTTGGGAACCCCCGTCCCGGTCAGGTGCATCTTGCCCATCTGGTACATGGCCCCCACGTGCTGCCCCCCACTCCCCTCCTCGCCTCTTCTGATATGCCTAACCCCACTCTATTATCTCACCATGACCACATTCTTGGGAACCCCCGTCCCAGTCAGGTGCATCTTGCCCATCTGGTACATGGCCCCCACGTGTTGCCCCTCCACCGCCTGCTGCAGGAACTGCAGCGCCTTGCTGGGGTTGCGCCTCACGCCCTGCCCCCTCAGATGACTCATTCCCAGATTGTATAACGCGTCCACGTCCCTGGTCTTCCGGGCTGCAGTGAGGAAGTTCTGCACCGCCTGCGGGCAGGGAGGAGAAGGAGAGGAGGGGGGAGGGAGAGAAGGGAGGTAAGGAGAGAAAGAAGCGCAAAGAGAGGAGTGTGAAGAGAGGAGTGTGAAGGGAGGAGTGTGAAGAGAGGAGTGTGAAGAGAGGAGTGTGAAGAGAGGAGTGTGAAGAGAGGAGTGTGAAGAGAGGAGTGTGAAGAGAGGAGACAGGAGACGAATGAGTTTGCTGCAGGTAGAAACTGCAGCGCCTTGCTGGAGGAGGGAGGGAGGAACAGCAGGGCCGATCAGACAGACTAGGGGTGTGGAGGGGCCAGGGAGAAGCAGCAAGGAGGCGGGAACACGTCTTGCACGTGGGGTGTTAATGCCTTACACACGCATGCACGCACGCACGCACGCACGCACGCACACACACAGACTGTGCGAGTACCTTGTGGTATTCGTGAGGCAAACCCAGCCCCTTGGCGTGCAGATGTCCCACACTGTTCAGCACGCTCACAAGCCCTCTGGAGCACCCACGTGCTAGTAACCTGGTGCAACCTCCTGTGACAGGCGCATGTCAGGAGGACACACTTCTCCTCCTCAATACCTTGTGCTAGTCCTGAGGCACCCCCAGCCCCTTGGCATGCAGATGTCCCACACTGTTCAGCACGCTCGCGAGCCCGCGTGCATACGCCTTGTTGAGCCACGCCATTGCCCTCAGGAGCACGATCCCACCGCATAAGCACATACACCAAGCGCCAGGCACCGTGTGACAGCACACCCACACCCCACACCCCCCCAGACAACCACCCGCACACCCACACCCCCACTGTACCTTGTGGTAATCCTGAGGCACCCCCAGTCCTTTAGCGTGCAGATACCCCACTCCATTCAGCGCGCTCACGAGCCCGCGTGCATACGCCTTGTTGAACCACTGCAATGCCTCGACTGGGTTGGCCTTGCAACCCACGCCGTGTGTGAGCATCTCACCCAAAGTCAGCATGGCCTGTTGAGAGTAAGGAGTTACATGGGGTCGAACAGAGGGGCTAAAGAGGGGTGAAGGCGGGTCGGGCCGTGCATACGCCTTGTTGAACCACTGCATGGCCTCCACTGGGTTGGCCTTGCATTGCATCCCACGCCGTGTGTGAGCATCTCGCCCAGCGTCAGCATGGCCTGCTGAGAGTAAGGAGTTGCATGCGGTTGAACAGAGGAGCTAAAGAGGGGTGAAGGCGGGTGGGGCCGTGCATACGCCTTGTTGAACCACTGCATTGCCCCTAGTGGGTTGGCCTTGCAACCCACGCCGTGCGCCAGCATCTCACCAAAAGGCCAGGCCATGAGGTGGTTGTGACGCCTGTTTGGCCATTCTCAAAGGCCAAGCCATGAGTCAGAATGGCCTGTTTGGCCGAGTGGGTGGGTGAGAGGATTTGACCAAAAGATTGCGATCGAGAGGGTGAGTGTGAGGGACCGAGTGCACTGCATGGCAACCACTGGGTTGGCTTTTACCCCCACTCTGTGTGTGAGCATCTCACCCAGCGTCGGCATGGCCGGTTGGGGGTAGTGATTGTGTGAGACGGGGTGCAATCAAACCAAGAAAGGGGCAGTGAGTGAGTGGGACCCATCACCAGCACTGATGTGTGTGTGTGTGTGTGCGTGTGTGTGTGTGTGTGTGTGTGTGTGTGCATGATGCCATGCCGCATATACATGACGACTCGCAGAAAACCTCTCAATCTCTCCCGGTTTCTCCTGGCTGGACTTTCCCGGTCTATTTCCATCTCGCTCCATCAATAGTGCTCACTCTATCACCATAACTCCTTCCAAAAACATCCCCTGGCCTCCCACTCACGTGCGGGTCGTCCATCTCAGCTGCTTTCTTCATCAGCCCAAACGCCCTCACGTGGTCCCGCGGCATGCCCCGTGCCCCCCAGTAGTAGAGCGTTCCAAGGGTACGAATGGCCTCCACTGCTCCTCGTGATGCCTGCAGCTCAATGAACTGATTTGAGGAGGGTGGGGTGTGAGGGGGTTGGTGGACAAGAATCAGAATGCCTGGAGTCCCGCGACATGCCCCTCGCCCCCCGGTAATACAGCGTGCCCGTCGTGAGAATAGCCTCCACTGCTCCCCGTGATGCCTGCAGCTGGATGAACTGGAAAGGGAAGGGGGGACGAGTAGGTGGAAAAGTGGGAAGCGAAGGACAGGGCGAGGGGGTTAGAGTCCCGCGGCATGCTCCGCCCCCCCCCAGTAGTACAGCGTTCCCAGCGTGCGAACGGCCTCCACTGCTCCTCGTGAGGCTTGTAGCTCGATGAACTGGAAGAGGAGGTTGGCACGTCAGGAAGGTGGAATGGGATGAATAAAAAGGAGGGGGGGGGGCGAGTTAGAGTCCCGCGGCGTGCCCCGTGCCCCCCAGTAGTAGAGCGTGCCCAGCGTGCGAATGGCTTCACTGCTCCCCGCGAGGCTTGTAACTCGATGAACTGGAAAGGGGAGGGAAGGAAGAGGATGGGAAGCAGGGGAAGCCAGAAGGTCGAGATGAGAGTGGCTGGCTGGGTAGCGGGCATGCCCCGAGCCCCCCAGTAGTAGAGCGTGCCCAGCGTGCGAATGGCCTCCATTGCTCCTCGTGATGCCTGCACTGCAGCTCGATGAACTGGAGGGGGAGGGGAAGGGAGGAAGAGGGAGGAAGAAAGGTCTGAAGGTTTGGAATTGATGGGCAGTGGTGGCAGGTCCCGTCACAGGCGGCCCAGTAGTAGAGCATGCCCAGCATGCCCAGCATGCCCAGCGTGCCCAGTGTGCGAATCGTTTTTGAGTCGACTCAAAAACATGCCCAGCATGCCCAGCATGCCCAGTGTGCGAATATTCGTGTGACTTTTGAGAATTCTCAAAAGTCACACGAATATAGCGTGCCCAGCGTGCCCAGTGTGCGAATCGCCTCTACTGCTCCTCCTGAGGATTGTAACTCGATGAACTGGTTTAAGTAGGTAAAGGGGGGCGTGGAGGAGGGACAGAGAGGTAAAGGAAGGGCGTGAAGGAGGGACAGGGAGGAGGAAACAGGGGTATCGCTGCATGTCCCGCGCACCCCAGTAGTAGAGCGCGTGCCCAGCGTGCGAATTGCCTCTAATGCTCCTCCTGAGGCAAATAACTCGATGAACTGGTTCACAACACCCGCAACACAACACCCTTGCAACCCTCACAACCACTCCAAACCACGTCCTTCTCACCTGAATGGTCTCATCTCATCCGCCTCTCTCCTGTGTCCTCTGGTGGCTTCCAAGCTCTCCTCCCCCTCAGCGCTCAAATGCACCGTCTCGATCAGTGGCGCCTGCCCCCGATGGTCTCACGCCGTAACGATTCTCATGTGTGTGGGACCCACTCACCTGAATGGTTTCATCTGCCTCCCCTCGATGCCCTCTCGTCGCCTCCAGGCTCTCCTCCCCTCCAGCACTCAGATGCACTGTCTCTATCAGCGGCGCCTGGCCAGGGAGGCTGTTGACCGCCATTGACTTGGCTGCCACGTCAGCGTAGAGCGCAGCGGCGCGCTCAAACTCCTGCTGGCGGAGGTGCGAGAAGGCGAGCGCCATCTTGGAGTGCACACTGCCTCCATTCGCTGCGAACGTGTGGTGCAGAAACGCTTTCACCTGATTGGCGGAGATGGGGAGACGGGGAGCGATGGGGAGGGATGGGGGGGGATGGGGAGGGGTAGCGAGAGGTAGGAAGGGATGGGGAGGGAATAGAGGTGCTGAGATACCATGAAACATTTTGGACCCCTTCGCCTACCCGGTCCCCATCCCCTCTTCCCCACCATCCCCTTCACCTGGTTGAGCGGAACGCCGTATCCGCTGGCATGAAGGAACCCCAGCGCGGAGTGCGCGTGGGGGAAGCCCTTTTCCGCGGAGCGCTCCAGCAGCAGCAGCGCCTTGGGAATATCCCGCGCCACTCCCCCGCGGCCCCCCGCGCCTACCAGCCGCTTCACCCCCAGCGCCCACAGCGCCTCTGCGTCCCCCTGCTCCGCGCGCCGGCGCACGTCCGCCAATGGCATCTCGACAGCTGTCCGCCACGATCCCGGATCCAACGGCTCCTGTTTGTACTTCTCCACCAGAGGATCGTCCGCCATTGCCGCCAGCGCCGCCGCCGCCGCCGCTTCCGCCGCTGCTGCTGCGGCCTCGGGCGATTTGACGGCTTTAATCGCCTCGCCTCGCTTCGGCTCGTTGCTATCCTTATTTGCCTTTTTAGAACCTGCAGCTGTTCCTGCTCCTGCCGAATCTGCTCCTTCTCGCTTCGGATCATCCTCGCCGTCCGTTTCCTCGAGATCATCGTCGTCGTCGTCCCAATCGTCGTCACCCGTTTTAATCACGTACGTCTTGCCGTTTTTCCTAATGAATGTGATCTTAGCGGAGCGAGCGACGGTCGCAAAGAGCAGGAGTAGCACGAGCAGAAACAGCGCGAGCGACAAGGACGACGTGCTCCGTCTCGTTCGCGAAACGCTGGTAACCAGGCGGGCCATCGCTGACGGTCTCTTTCCCAAACAAGCGGCAAACCGCGAATTCAGACACTGCGACTGGTCCTCAATCTTAAGATAACAAGTTTTACAAGGATAGTCGCCTCGGAACACTCTCACTCCTAGGAGCTATAAATATCGCACCTGCTCCTTTCGAGAACCGCAGAACCAACAAATATCGCACCTGCTCCTTTCGAAAACCGCAGAACTTCCTCCTGGGATCCTAACAGACTTGGCTAGCTACAGTCGCACCATGGAGCATAGAAGTGAAGTGACGGATTGCGTAGGTGGACAGGTGCTGGCGAACCCTGAACTTCAGAAAGGTCTCACACGGTACTCTGAGTTTCGGTCGGTTTACACTCTGATGCAATACGGTACCGTTCGAAATTGAATAAGACGGATCGCAAATATGCTGGTCACTGGAAATCTGGCTCTAAGAAGGGAGAGCCAGAAGGGGAAGGCGAAAAGCCAGGTGCTGGCGAGCAGACGGCTAGCGGTTGGAGGAAGGATGTGGAAGGTATGCCATGATTGGTCTACAGTTGACGATGACTTCGAGAGTGCACTCCAGATTGGCTTGCTGTGAGAAATGTGAAACCAACCATTTCAAGATGGAAAGCAGGTGGTTGCAGAAGGTGATTTATTTGTTCGTCTAAGCAGTTATCTGCCCACAAAAGAGCACCATATGTCTGAACCCGGAATCGAACCGGAGACCTCCAGTGTGTGAGACTGGCGTGATAACCGACTACACCATCCAGACATGTCATGGGTAAAAACATGTTACATATACTATTTTTTAAAGGTAAGAGCGATTGCTGTCATGCTACAGTTAGTCCGAGTACTTAGTCGAATCAACTATGGCGTCCCCTATGCGATCTCTCGCGTCAGCCTTCAGTCGACGCCTCGTCGGCCCGCAAGCGTCGGCCCTCTCGCTTCGAGGAGGCGCGGGAGCGCGTCTCGGCTTCGGACGTCCACCAGCTTCCGAGGCACGTTCTTCCGTTCTTTCTTCCCAGAAGTCGCCGAGTCTTGCGCGTCTCCGTCTCCCTGAACCAACGTTCCGTGCGCGACTTTTCAGTCGAATCTGAGGTCACCTCAATCGTTGCATTCCATGGCGGAGGGAAGTCTAGCCGATGCCCGATGGCCGATGAGCGATGCCCGATGGCCCGCGATGACCAATGATAGATCGCCGATAACTCGCCCACCCTCTCCCGGTGTCTCTATACCCGTCATTGTCGCCGGGAATAGTCTTCTGCTTCCCGGATCGTGTACTCGCGTTTCTTGACGCTTGGTTCCCTGGATCATCTCGCGTCGTGTGTCGCGGTATTGCGGGGTGTCATGCAAGACAAGACTTCCAGAACCTTTTCAGTCTCCTCCCACTTTTTTCCAGCATTTTCCTGAACCTCACTATTCTTCTCCTGATATCTGGTTCAGCGAATCCCCACTCTCTTCATTCCCGTGGTTCATTCCCGTGGTTCATTCCCGCCCGCCTCTTTCCCGTCGTCGTCGCGCCCGCCCTACCTCTCTCCTTCCTACCTTTCGCCCTCCCTCCCACTACGACCCCGTTGCACATTCAGCTACCAGAAAGCGACGAGCTGACATGGTATGAAGGCACGCCCAACCCTGAGCCTTCACGGTTCCCCGCGCCTTCTTACAACACCTGCTCTTCGTCCCTGCCTCCCCCTCCTTGCCTCTTCCCCATTCGCTCCGTGCAGCTACCAGAGAGTGACGAGCTGACATGGTATGACGGCACGCCCAACCCTGAGCCCTCGCGGTTCCGCCCCTTCTCCCTGTATCGTCCCCCTTTTTCCCCCGGTTGCAGCTACCGGAGAGCGACGAGCTGACGTGGTATGACGGCACGCCCAATCCCGAGACGGCTACAGACACCATCCTGCCGAACCTGCCGTCTGTGAGTCGCCCCTTCCCCAACCCCATCTTTTGAGGCGCTTCAAACAACAGCATGCATTACCCCAAACGTGCTATAGACGCCATCCTGCCGTCCCTGCCGTTGCTGCCGTCTGTGAGTCGCCCCTTCCCCTCTCCTCGCCCCTCTCCTCTCCCATTCTCATCCCCATCCCCATCGAACAACAGCACTGCAGTGGTTAGCAGCAGGCCTCTCAGTGTTTGCCCGCGTGACGACCTTTTTGAACCATTGCCTTACTCTTCATCCCCCCTCCCCTCCCCTCCCCTCCCCTCCCCTCCCCTCCCCTCCCCTCCCCTCTCCCCTCTCCTCCCTCTCCCCTTTTCTATCCTCATCCCCGTCCCCATCAGACCACAGCACTGCAGTGGCTAGCAGCAGGCCTGTCAGCGTTTGCCCTGGTGGGTCTTGCTGCAGTGGTCAACGACAAGGCCTCGCGAATCCCCTGGGTATGTACTCCCGAACCTCTCGAGTGCACCAAGTATGTGCTATCCGCTTGGCCGAGTGCACCAAGTATGTGCTATCCGCTTGGCCGCCCACTGTGTCCCTTGCGTGAGCCCCTCGCCTGCATGCATGCCTGCGTCCCATTCATGCCTCCTCACCTCATTGCATCTCTCCCGCCCACCCGCCCTACAGGCATCCCGTGAGTTCCCGTTCGACGACGGTCTTCCTGAATGCAGCTAGGACAAGCTGTATGCTTAGCCACACACTAGGTCCCTTGCATGTTAACCTCCCTTGCATGTTAACCTCCCTTGCATGTTAACCTCCCTTGCATGTTAACCTCCCTTGCAACTTTTCCACCCACCCACCCGTCCATCCTACAGACCCCCCGTGAGTTCCCGTACGACGACGGTCTTCCTGAGTGCACCAAGGACACACCGTGTCCCGTGTCGTCTGTGTCCCACCTGACCACACGCCCTGTCCCGTGCATGCATCCCATTCATCCCTTTCACGCCCTGTCCCGTGCATGCATCCCATTCATCCCTTTCACGCCCTGTCCCGTGCATGCATCCCATTCATCCCTTTCACGCCCTGTCCCGTGCATGCATCCCATTCATCCCTTTCACGCCCTGTCCCGTGCATGCATCCCATTCATCCCTTTCACGCCCTGTCCCGTGCATGCATCCCATTCATCCCTTTCACGCCCTGTCCCGTGCATGCATCCCATTCATCCCTCTCACACCCTGTCCCGTGCATGCATCCCATTCATCCCTCTGCTGCCTCTCTGTCTGCATGCTGTGCATGCCTCCCTACAGGCCCCCCGTGAGTTCCCATACGACGACGGTCTTCCCGAGTGCACCAAGGACAAGCTGCCCGCCTGACTCCCGACAGTACACCAGCACCAGCAGTACAGTACCCGCAACCCTCATCATGCATACAAACAATCATGTCTGCCTGCCACCACCACCCCGCCCGCCACGCCACTATCGTCAGCGCACCTTGCCCACCAGCTTGTGAAATTGGTCGCTCTGATTGCCATAGCATAGCAGACATACGGAAGCAGCATTTCTTGCTATTCAGGTGAGCTGCTTGTCACTTGACAAGCTGAGATGATACCAGGATTGACACTTGCTTGACCTGTAGCAGTTTCAAGCCATTGTTCAGTTGCCATGTACCGTAGATGTTGAATCTTATGCTTGTAAGCATAATCTTCGGTCCTATGGATGTTGACTTGCATTGGAAACATGGGCTTTGCACTCCCATCCAAAATGCACAAGAAAAAAATACGTCTACATGACAGTCTAAATAACACATCAACTATCGTACTGAATCAGTAACCTCCAATAATGCTACTGGACATGGCAAACGGCATTCTTAGGCCTCGAAGGGGGCAAAAACGACCACCGAGTTGTGACCTCCGAAGCCAAATGAGTTGGAAATGCCTGAAACGCCAAGTAGTCAGCAGGGAAGCAGGCAGGAGGTAGCCAATAGCGGGGAGAGATGGAGAGAGCGGGAGAGGAGATGGGGCAGGCCGCGGGAGGAGGGAGAAGAGTTTGGGGGTTAGATGACAGGAGAGGTTCTGAGCAGGAATTATCTGATGGACGTGGGTTTCGACAGTGATGCAAGGTGGATCAGATGAATCTGGGCAGAGTTGAAAATGACGTGTAGTGCACTCACCAACGTGCACTTTATGCTCCTTCTTGACATTCGCCACTGTGTCGAAGGTTACTGACTCCTCCAGGTCCTGAACAGAGAAAACAAGGAAAGGGAGCAAATACATGCACGTATATTGTTAACACAAATCTTTGGAGAGTTGGGTAAGACCAAGTCTTCATGAAGATAAAGATACAGCAGCAGACAAGCTCGAGCACTCATGAATTGAGTGATGCGAGGGGGCAGCCATCCGGTCTCAATCGCTTTGTTAATTTCAAGTCAACTCAAAGAGGGTGCATGCATGGTATGGTAACTCTCAAACCAATCAAACCAAGCAGCACTGGCAGCACAGAAAGACTCAAAATTGGTTGATGGTGGGGTGCAGCCAGCCCGTCTCAATGCCCTTGATCACCGCAATTGCCTCCAGCCCTCCCGAACAGTGATGTGCGATGGGGTGCATCCCATCCACCAACCAACTCTCTAACCAATCAAGGCGAGCAACACTGGAAGCTGGGCTTTTAAGCCAGCAACAATGGTATGAAGCTAAGCAACTCACGAATTGGTTGATGGTGGGGTGCAGCCAGCCCGTCTCAATGGCTTTGATCACTGCAATCGCCTCCAGCCCTCCGGCAGCACCCAGACAGTGACCAATCATGGACTGCCACGTGTACAGGGGAGATGACGTGGGAAGGACAGAAACACAGTCATTCACAGGTCAGCCTATCAACCTTCCTTCACGACCCAAAAACTGTACCTCATACAAGTGTTTGCACCTAATAGGCTCCACAACGCATACTCGCTCTAGTTCATTTCAAAAAATGTACTCCCAATGGCATTGGTGCAATTAAGTTTGATCTTCCTGGTATCGTTGAACATCTGCTTGATTGCGTTCATACACCAGCTATGTTCATACTCGTTATGGAGTGCTCCACTAAACACACTCCCACTGACCTTGGTGCCCTTGAGCTTGATCTCGCTGGTATCCTTCCTTGAACACCTT